TTCGTCATTACTCTCTTTTTCTTTTGCGTTTCTTAGTTTTTTTTTTCTTTCTACTTCTCTTCGAATTCCCATTGTTTTGTGTGGCGCATATATATTGGCGCTCTCTTGTACCAATATTTATGTGTTCAAATAAAATAAAATAAAATAATTTTCCGATATAATCTCACTTACACTTGACTTATTAATCCCAGTTTCTTTTATTAGTCTGTAAAGCTGTCTTATGTTCCCTATAGTCGCCGCCTTTTCCATCTCTTTTGCTTTCGATGCCCACCACTGCTCACGGTCGTTTCTTAGACTGTTGCTTAACCTAGACCTGATTTGTTGTCGCTCTTCATCGTATTCAGAACCTGATGGGACAAGTTTGCGAGAATCCATCAATGCGATAGACCTTGAAGAAATCCATTGGTTCTTCGTAACTCTGTGGTTTAAATCATTAATAGATGTCACTGCTCTTTCTACAGCTGATTGTATGTCTTTCCAAGCAGCATCTGGGTCAGCCTCGTTTTCAGAACTACCTAAGTGTGACTTCAGTTGATCCTGGAACCTACTTTTGGTTTTCTCGTCACTCAATTCAGTTCTAATTGTTTCTTTTAATGTGGCTTTTTTGCGTCCAGTGAGGCGCAAGCAGATGCGTGCCCGTATTAGAGCATGATCAGAGTCAAAGCAGGTACACCAGAATGAGCGACAATCTTCTACCGACTCTCTCCAACGATGACTGATGGCAATATGGTCTATTTGAGTCCATCGTTGGTTTGGTGTAGGGGGTCGCCATGTTAGACGATGTCTCTCCTAATGCTTAAAATTTGTGTTTGCTAAAAATAAACGATTGTCTGAGCACAGTTGCAGCAGACGATCACCATTATCTGTTCGTTGTGCCGGAATACTAAAATACCCACCTAAATGTCTCTCTGTTTGGTTTAAACTACCTATCTGGGCATTAAAGTCACCTGCTACGAGTACTATGTCTGAACGTTTAGCTTTCTGAAGAAGTTCAGAGAGCTTTCTGAACAAAACAAAATGAGATTCGGTTTGTATATCTACTCATGAGTTAAGTCATCAAAATTAAAACCAGTGTAAATCTGCTGACACCGGACAAATTAAGAGTCAATCGTTCGTGATATAAGTGAAGAATCTAAATATTTTAAAAAGATTAAAAATCAGTATTTTCGTCAAAATGAAAGAAAAACAACTTATCCAACTTATTTCATCTGTACTTGACTTATGAGAGAAGCTTCAGACTAGTAAACATATAGTCTACACATAGTTCTTCCTAAACCAAATCTGCATGCATCCAGAACTCAGAATTCAGGTACGTTTATCTTGCTGGCGTTGGTGTCGCACTAAGCGCTAGAGCTGAGGCAGCACTAATCGATCGGATCCCAATTAACAATCGGTTATTTGCTGTTAGATTAGAGAGTTCCATCAAAGTGAGAGGAAATCGGTGTGAGAAACGATGTCTTTTCGTCATCTCCACCTATGCCCCGACAGATTGCAGCCCGGATGCAATCAAGGATGAATTCTACCACCAGTTATCTGTTCTTCTATAGAAAATGCGTTCGACAGATATTGTAGTACTAGCCGGATACTTGAATGCTCAGGTCGGACGTCTAGGCACAGAAGAGAATCGTTTAGGTGGCCGATGGGGACTTGTTGGTCGCAGGACAGATAACGTGAACCGTCTATCAATATTTTGTGAAAACCGCAACCTGTTTCTGGTTAGCACTAACTTTCGGCACAGTCATCGCCGATGTGCCACCTGGCGTCCTCCCTCTGCATCTCAAACCTGGACTCAGATTGATCACATCGCGATCAGCTACCGCTGGTGTGGTTGTGTACAAGACTGCCACTCCTTTTGGAGTACCTATCTGGACTCTGATCATGCCTTGGTCTGCACCAATCTTACCTTACTTTTCAGTGGCCAACGAAGTGACCGCCACCAAAGGATTGATGTCAGCAAGCTGGTTGCAACTTCTGTTGCTAGTAAGTACCGAACCGAGCTAGCTTCTAGGCTAGCTACCATTCCATCAAAAAGTATAGATGAGCATTGGTTGCGTGACGCCATGGAAATAGCGAGTAAAGCCGCTTGCGGCTTCGCGAAACGTCCCGCTTATAAGCATTGGGCTTCTTCGGGCTCCTTACAACTCATTGAAGCCCGTCGGTTTACTCCGGGCGACCGTGAGTTTGACCACAAACAACAACTGTTACGTAATGAAATTGAGCAAAGCTTGAGTAAAGACCGAGAAGCCTGGTGGTCGGAGCGTGCTAATGAGCTGGAAGCAGCACCTGCATCTGGTAATTACCTTGAGCTCTTCCAACTCATCCGAGCCACTGGCAGCAAGAAGCCTGGTGTGAGCGAAACAATCTGCGAGGATGACGGAACGCCAATCACTAACATCCATCGACGTCTTGGACGATGGGTAGAATTCTTCGAAAGGCAGTTCAGCTGGCAACATCGGCCAGACTGTCCTGGCCGGTGACGATTGATCCGCCAAATGAGGCGGAACTCCGCAAGGAACTCCAACTCTTGAAGAGCTTCAAATCACTGGGTCCAGATGACTTACCTCAGGCGGCCAGACCAAAACATGGTACAAGTCCATGAAGTCACTGACAAGTGGACTGAGTCATGTCGGTAGGTGTAGACTACCTGGTTGGGGACCACGAGATGATAGCAACCGATGGTTAGAGACCCTGAATGACATGGCTCAAAATCGTTTGCAATGGCGCAGGTGCATCCACTCTTTGTGTTCTCCCAAATTTTGATCTCCTTATTCCTCCTTGTCTCTTTTTTTCTCTTCCCAAATTTATTTCATTGTATTATACTCTTTAAGTAACATCTCCAAACACTAATCTACCCGATTACTGCTTATACTCTCATTACCTCTACCACTATGGGATTTGAATCGACAACTGCATCTCTGTGCTAATGTGGTGTGGCAACTCGAACTGATGTACGTACGTACGAAGTTCTACGTTGTTACTGACTGACTGACTGACTGACTGACCATTCGAGCAGTGGAGTTACACAGGGTTGCCCAATCTCACCATTCCTCTTCAACTTTGCCATCAACGACATTCTGGAAACAGCTCTGATGGATTTAAGTAATGGCGGTGGGGGTCTGTTGACTAGAGAAAGACTTCTCGACCTTGAGTATGCGGATGATATTGTCTTACTGTGTGATAATGCCCAAGCCATCCAATCCGCACTTAGTCAGTTGGCAATCAGTGTCCGTAAGTATGGTATGTGCTTTGCACCTTCGAAGTGCAAAGTACTTCTACAAGACTGGCAGGATTCCAATCCTGTACTCTCCCTGGATGGTGAGCAGATAGAAGTAGTCGAGAAGTTCCTGTACCTAGGTAGCTGCATAAGTGCTGGTGGGGGCGTGAGTGATGGAATCAATGCACGTTTAGTGAAAGCCAGAGCGGCTTATGCCAATGTGGGCCATCTTTGGCGCCTTCGTGATTTTAGTCTGGCTGTAGAAGGTCGGATCTACAACGCGTCAGTGAGAGCACTTCTGCTCTATCAATCCAATTTACCAACCAATCAGGAAAGTCATGCACAACGGGAGACACAACCAAAACAAAGAAGTAAACAATGACAAATTTAAGGTCAATAAGAACCAATCAACATCGAGGTGTACAGAACAAGCTGTGAAACACATATGGAGAAATTCGAACACTTCACTTCTATCTGAAGTTTATGCTGATGATGTCGTTCAGAAGAACGATGAAAGCTCCACGACCAAACCATCCAGCTCAGAGAACAAAACTCCGCCAAAACGTTCTGCTCTATGCTTGTGAAACTTGGCCTCTCCGAGTCGAGGATGTTAGACGACGCTGTGTTCGATCATCGTAGTCTCCAAAGGATTGCTGACATCCACTAGCAACACCATGTTAGTAATGCAGAGGTTCGGCATCGTGTGTTCGGGCAGAGACGATCATGCAATCGGTGTCACCATCTTGAAACACCGCACCCACATGCCCTGGTACGGCCGAGAGTGGGGAGAGTCCGCTCTCCCTCTCGAAATGCTCTCACATGGCCACACGTATATAGCCTCTGCCAGGGAAGTCCTACTCACTGCCTTCTTGTGGCGCCGGTGTTGTTTAAAAAAATGAGAGGACGAAAAGCGAATGTCCGGCGCTTTAACCGGATCCCAAACCAATGGTGCACATGGGGCTCCAGTATCCTGAAGGGACAAATGGCGTATGAACCAGTCGTTGGTCACCGGCTTCCATAGGACTGCATCTCCTGACGATGCTCCACTTCCTTGTGGATCAGACCTTCAGGTCGAAACCTCGGGGAGCGGCCCCCTAAGAAAACCACCTGCTTCGGTCTGGGCACCCGGGCAGTATCACAGCCCTCACACATATCGAATGAGATTTGTGTGGCGCATATGTATTTGGTGCCTCTTTGTACCAATACCTATGTGTTGAAATAAAACAAAATAGATAAAATTATTCTCGTTCAAAGTATTGAGTATTAGCTTAGAGCACGAAAGTATCAACAGCTGAGGACCTTATACGATATCACTTAAAACATATTAACAATTACTGATCGTTGAGTAGCTTACAACTAACATCGTGTTTTCCTAGTCTGTTGGTGACGACCAATTTCTGTTGAGTACTTAACAAGAAGTGAGTATATGTTTTAATAGTTATCTCGAAATCAATGAAATTTTAAAATACAGGCGAGGTCATCAGTGTTTTGGAGTGAGTGACCTAGATGAATTACTTTATGAACAGTGGGGGGTCAGAGTGCGGTGCTGTTACGTATGGTTATGGATTAATGAGATTGTGAACATGCACAAAACGACATGGAAGTACATGGCTGCGTTTGAAGAGCATACAAGTAACGTTTCATGTGACAATAATTAAAATTAATTAAGGACCGAACATTGGTATAGTTCCTACAAACAAGTTCTTACATGTTGGTTTCTAGTAACGAGTGACGAGCAAATACGAATCTCACAAATATAATGATAATAATAATAATGGTTACCTACCTTCTATACAATTTTCAGGAACAACATTTACATCTTTTGAGACTAATTCCTGTGACGACCTTATAACCAGGTCATCTAACTCTACTGGTTCTTCGACCTTAAAATTTATTCCAAAATAAGGATCGAACATAGATATCTCCATTTCACTTCAATTTTCAAATGCATAGAAATATGTGGTAACTACAACAAATGGCAAAACAGCTCTTTAGCGAGAAAATATATCGCATAGATGTTTCAACTTCAAATAACGAAAATCACTACTAGCCCCACCCTAATTTAAATTCGGTCACAAGATTACCATCCCTTCTACTTATAAAATATCTACTGATAACAATAACATTCAAGTAACATCGTTACTCCAAATATAATGAAATGTTTAGTTGCTGTTTAGCACCATTGATACTTAAAGGTTTTCTAATCTTAGCAAAACTTAATTTAGGGAGACGTTTTAATGAAGTTGATAACTCAACTTCCGACATTTTCAACCACCGATAGACTCACAGTTGTTCGGTATCACAAGCTGTGACTGATAGTTTTAAATTATCGATGGATTAGTATACTAATAGTTTTCTCTCACATTCTGAGTCACTGAGTTTACTTAGTCTTGTTCTTAAAGTCAAGTGGATTTTTTCCTCCTTAAGAGTCCTGAAAGAGGATTATTCTTCAGAATACATCCTTTTCTGTTTCATAAACCCAGGTCGAAATAAAGAGATATCGGTTATACGTTGATCCAACGTATGGAAGATCCTTAAGCCCCTAAGAAAAGGCGTCCAATAGCATTAGGCAAATGAAGGGTTTGTGTCTAGTATGAAGGCATGTTATGTACTGGCATAATGTGAAAAGTAACACGTGACAGAACCTAGAAGTGTAGAGAGCGTGAGAAGTGTCAGAACTAAAAAACAAACGAACCACACAGGTTTTTGGCGTGGAATTCATTTCCTCATAATTGTCAACAAGCATTATTGTATTATAGCTAGAACACTAACATCTAACACGTATATCGGTTCTTAATTTATGTTAAAAGTGTTCATAAATTACAACTGTATAACTTTTCAATTGAGAATCGGGTGGAAGTAAAGAATATGAGCGACCTAGATCCTTCACCTCGAGCCGCCTTTCAGCAAGCACGAAAAATACTAAGGCGATTTGTGCAAGAAAATTGTTACATTCATGGCTGATACATAGTTCTAAAATGAATAACGGGCTTTTACATATGAAGTAATAAAGTTCCCATCAAAAACAGAATTGTGGAGGTTCGCATCTAGCCAAGAGGTACGTTGTGTACTAAAGGAGTATGCAGAGTAGCGTGACGGTTGGGAAACAAATGGACAAAATAAAAGGTGAATCGATGACCCAACAAGCACACACAGTGTATCGTGTAGTTTCGTTGGTGAAACCAATCGGCAACAATCTGTAGTGTTTATATGAACTGCTGATTCTTTTGTACTTGATGACTGCCTGATATCAAACACTAAATTTAATACTTTCGTTTGGGTTTATCTAGTTTTGTTCGCTGTAAATTGCACTACTTCGGGAATTCGTAGTTCGTATAATGATTTAAATACTTCTAACTATTACATAATTCCCCCAAACTTGGGAGCTCGGGAATCACAAACAGCACAAGTCTCATATCAAAACAATTTTTGGATTGAAACTAGAAGCAGATAGTTCAACCTGCTACAAGAACATACGAACGCACTGCACACCAAGATCGGACTGATTCGTCCACATACTTTACTTCTATCACTAGCCACATCTAAATTCCCTGACTCAAGGTCGTCCACTTTCATTACTTTGATTGAAGTGCCGAGGATCCAACAAGTGAACAAAATTCAGACTCAGATCCCAGACTTGTGTAGTAAGGACAGAAGGCCTACGGCCTATGTTATTCCTTTACTAGTATGCTTCTGTGAGTGTCCAGTCTTCTTTTGCAAGAGTCGAAAGTGGTGTACCCCGAGGCACCATCTTAGCCCCTCTACTCTTCCTTCTCTACGTTAATGAGTTACCGCTGTTGCTTAGGTTGTCGACATTATTGTTTGCGGATGACGTTAAAATTCGAAGAACAATAAAAAGTGGGGCCGATCATCTGGATCTTCAGGCTGACTTAGACAATTTAGTTAGATGGGCTCGGGGTTGGGGCTTAGAAATCAATTCTAGGAAGAGTGTGCTAATGCACATCGGTCAGGGTAGTGATTACCATTATACTGTTCATAGTTAACCTCTTCCATGCGTTCAAGAGCATAAAGACTTAGGAGTAATAATAAGTCATGACTTTAAATCAACTACGCATTGCAACGCAGCCGCTGTCAAAGTTTTTCGTGCGTTCTAGTCACTTTGCCGAGCGTTCAAATATTTTGACGAGGAATTGTTTCGAATTTTATATCCCACCTACATAAGACCACATTTAGAGTACTGTATCCAAGCAGCTATCCCATGTCTGGTAAAGGATACGATGAGCCTTTAAAACCCCTAAACCTTTTCCCCGTGTCGTGTCGTAGGACGTGAGGTGACCTTATATTGGCATTTCAAAAGTGGTGTACCCCGAGGCACCATCTTAGCCCCTCTACTCTTCCTTCTCTACGTTAATGAGTTACCGCTGTTGCTTAGGTTGTCTACATTATTGTTTGCGGATGACGTTAAAATCCGAAGAACAATAAAAGTGGGGTTAATCATCTGGATCTTCAGGACGTGGGGTGACCTTATACTGGCATGTCGTATCTTTAATTATGATTTGGGTGTTAATATGTCTCATCCTTTTGCTCCCTCCAGCACTAATAATCTCCGAGGTCATAGAAAGAAGGTTCATAAACCGCGATCCGATAAACTTAAAGTGGGGTACTGAGTAGTCAATGATTGGAACGCCTTACCCGAACAAGTGTTATCAGCCCCATCAGTGAATATTTTCAAGGAGAAACTGGACCTTCACTGGAAGACAATCTGTCAGGATTAACACAGGTTCACCAACCTACTATCCTTATTACTGCAGACTGAATTGAAGGTGCGGACACCACTGCTTCGGGCAGTAGGTTCCAAGTATTGATGACTCGATGTGAAAACCTGTATGCCACGAGTATTTTGTTCGTTCTTGGCCTTTCTACTCGACTGCTATGTGGGAAGAAAAAGAGAGAATAAGTTAGGTTCAGAATCATTTCTCACTGTCACCCCTAGATCCTTTTGAGACCGGACTACGAGTAATGGCACTTCCCCTATGTTGTACCTATCAACCTTTGAATCCCCAAAGTGCATGTAGACACACTTTGCTGTGTTGATAGGCATCAACCACTCTTTAGACCAGTTAATCATATTATCTAAGTCTGCCTGAAGAGCACATACGTCTGTATCTCCAGTTATTACTCGCCAGATCTTTACACTGTCAGCGTATAATAACATTGGAGACTGTACTATACTTGGAAGATCATTAACATACATTATAAACAGAAAAGGACTTAGGACGGAACCTTAAGGTACCCCACTAAGTACTGGTTTCCAGATGGAGCACTTGGAATTTATTCTTACTTTCTGTCGACCACCCACTAGGAAATCCCTAATCTATTTTAAAAGAAGTCCTGCAATACCAAGGGTTTCCAACTCCAATAGCAGTCTTTTAGATGGCACCTTGTCAAAAGCCTTACTGAAGTCTATGTAGACAACATCCACTGAGTTCCCGTTGTCTAGAGCTTTTATCCAAAACTCCCTTGCTATAAGGAGGTTCGTGGCACAAGATTGACCCTTCCTAAAACCATGTTGTTCTATGTTAAGCAAGTTATTGGCTTCCATAAATGCTATTATGGTCCGTTTGACTATTCTTTCCAATATCTTAACGACAACACTAGTGAGGCTTACAGATCTGTAGTTCGATGGAAGTTGGCTTGCTCCTTCTTCATGTATGGAAGTGACGATTGCGTCTTTCCAGTCCATAGGTAACACACCCTGGTCAAGTGACATATTGAATATCACAGTCAGTGGGGTCGTGATATATCGTGCAATATGTCTCAAGATTTTGGGGTGTAGTTCATCTGGTCCTGCTGACTTTTCCATGTTTGTGGTGCTAAGAGCCTTAAGCACATCGTCTTGATCGAAGCCCACGGTGAGCAGGTGGTTTGCTGACTCTTTATGTTGGTCTGGTTCTTTGTATAGAGGAGGTTTCTGAGTGAAAACTGCCCCAATAAGTGCAGTGTCAAGAGTGGGACTTTCAACAATGAAAGCAGCAGTCAGCATTTGGGGCGATTCGAACAAGCCGAAACTCGAGGCAGAAACTATGCAAGGTAAGATTCAGACTATTTTACAATTTTTATTTTAGATTATCACATTCAGATGAGGTCATACTTATCTCACTCAAATAGTTCGGCTAGTTCTGAACAGAAAGTAAGGATCTTTCGACTAACGGCTCGGCGTGTCTATTACCAATGGATAGGTAATGATCTATATTTACATTCAGATTAGATTCAGATTTGTGTAGTGAGGAAAGAACGCCTCTGGTCTGTGCTAGTCCTTTTCTAGTAGGCGTCTGAGAATGTTTAGTCTTCACCTGAATTACTCAATTAGAGAGTAGGACACCAACTCATTAGGTTACAAGTTTCAAGAATTTGGTGGCCCAGCATGGAAACCAGTATGCCTCGTGTTGTCTGTTCGTTCTTGTCTTTTGCACTCTCTCGCTATGCCCTTGAAGTTGTCCCGACTTAGTAGAAAGAAAAATATAGGACATATCAAGTACAGAATCATTTTCTTAGTATTCTGGACACCGAAATCACACCACCTCTTAATCTGCAGTAGGGAAGAGTAAAGATGTTCAACTTCTCCAGTCTCTCGGACCATAATAAACCCGGAGTTTTGGGATAGCGCGAGTAGCTATTGTCTATACACTTTTCGAAATATCCACAACACCGTTGAGATAGAGGCTTGCAGCTTGAATGCAGTTTTCAAAGGTAGATCTCATAAAGGTTGTGTACACTTTTTGAACATGTTGATATCCAACTTGATAAATATCCTTATAAAAACTATACGATTGTGAGCCACTCAGCTATCACCACGCGTTAGTGGGACGTGGTTTGATGATCATGACTCACTGTTACTACGAATTCATTGTAAGAACCGATAACGAGCACCAAATCTTCTCCTATGTTGTACATATCTACCTTTCGATCCCCTCATTTTCATACAGACACACACATGTGCCTGGTCCAACGTTGTAGCTGACTGACTGAGGCACACTTGGCTGCGTCGACAAACACCGACCATCTCTTAGATCAGAGAACTGTAGCATCTAAATCCTCCTGAACTGCATATGCATCTACATCTCCTGTTATTTCTCGCCAAATTTTCACATCATCAGCATGAAGCAACACCTGGGACTCAACTATATTCCACAGTTCATTTGCATACATAAACAAAGTTACAGGATTCAGTACAATCCCTCGAACATCCACCAAGTACTGGCTTCCAAGAGAAACACTTGCCATTTATTCCTACTTTTTTAGGTGTCAACTCAAAATATACCTAGCAAACAAATGGGGAGAGTAAACGGCATCGGTAAGTCAAAACGATATGCTCTGTGTATCTAGAAATCATAAAAACACATCCTACTCAGACTAAAAGACTGAAGGTTCAGTTGAACAAGATTGACGAATATCAAAATATCGGTGCAGAAGTTATCGAAACAAGGAAAAATTTCAAGAGATAAACAAACTATCGATTTAGACACAAAACCTACTCTATAGAATTTCCCACCAACATATATCCAACCGAAAGTATCAGTTTCTCACATATTAGGACGTGATACCTACCCAATGGACGGATTAAATGCTATCGTAATCCTCTGGATGCAGCAACATTATTAAACTTATTTGTGTCCCACTCACTCGTATATCTTGAAATTCAGAATTCTGTCGGATGAAATTAGACCTACTGTCACTGTGATTTGCTTTTCCATTTCCTCTTCTGTCTATTAAACCCATTATATCCACCACGAGATCACTACGGTTCGGATTGAATGCTACTTCTGAGTGCACAGCACTTGTTTGAAGACATTCGATAACACATTCATATCTGTTTTCTTCACCCTTGCCATTACAAATATGCTTGCACATGGCAGCTAACCTATGGGAAATGTGATGGAAGTACCGACTGATCAGCACCAAAGCCTTAGTTGCCATTACTTTCAGTTATTGTAAATTTAGGTCCTAAAGTCCTATGTATACGTTATTTCGAACCTGAAATATTAACGAATTTATCCGATTCGCCTTCCACAGCGACATCGTTTAGAGCATCGAATTCACTACTGACACACTTATATTTTCCGAAAACCCAGAGGTTTACAAGTTGACTTAAACTATCCGCTAGCTCGGGGACCCCAGACACTATTTCTACAGAAACAAGACAATAGCATACGTGGAATTTTCGTCGAAGAGTAGCTCGTATTCTTGTCGAATAAATCATAGTGACCGATGATCATACGTCTAAAATCATAAACGGCACAAGACAGTCAATATCAGGAATTCAGTCAAGATTATTTCTGAGAACCACAAGAAGTCGAGAACTTCTTCATCCTCGTTAAGCAGATGTTCTTGAAAGGACATTTCATCTCTGTCTGCTGATTGCCCAATCTTAAATTTTCTGATTCTGAGGAATACTTCTATTAAATCTGGTCTTAAGTGTATTCAATCATTCAGAGATACATGATTAGGCAGCACAGCTGAACACTATTCGAACTTTTCCTGGCTTTTTATGATTCAACACAGGATAATGTGGAACAAAATGCCTTTCTCTCTCGGCAGCTTGCACCAATCGGGATAAATACACCTTACACTCACGATTAACTAATATAATAATTTACAGCTTTGGATGATGTTCTCCTTTCAATAATCTTTCAGATAGGTAATTTAGTCGCTTTTCCATCTAGTATTTATTCGCTGTCAGAGAATATAAATATGTTGACTAGAAGCTGGTTGGCCATTAGGTGGCATTGTCTGGGCCTTGTAGATTCCGCGCGCGATCTCTCCATATGTATTTGTAGCAAGTGACGCAATCTTTTCCACAAACTCTAACAATTAACGAAATACGGTCTCTAACCTCTTTTCAGAATGTCGTCTACCGCCTTTGCCCATTTGAGATGTACCCTGTGTGAAAGTCTCATTACCACTACTTTTATTTTAGAACATTTAAAGCCTGAATTCCCTTTATTTGTAACAAAGCTGTCTCATAGTTGGCGATTTTTCCATATGAGCTTCTGCAAACCTGCTACGTCACTCTGATGAAAAAAAGGACCGTTTAACAATTACATTAGGAATGCCACTGCAATGTCAACAAGTCAACCAAACTACTTGAGTAAAGCGCTGATTACCCTAGTGTAACGTTCTTACTCTCAAATGGGACGCAATATTCTATATCATCCTTGCTATAACTTCACAATGTTGTAATAATTACATGTAGAGTTAGGTGTCATCATTAACTCAGTCCTCAACGTTTGCATTAAGTCCTTCCATGAACATTCAAAACCCAAGTGGATCCCCACCGAATTCAGTAATTTTAGTTTAGGCTAATCTCAATATCCTTAATAGTGACATAACGATATCTACCCCTGTTTTAAGTCCAACCAACTGTAGCTTCAGGTGTCAGATCTTCGGGTCAAGACTCAGATAATACAGCGCTCCGACCTTCGTTTTAAAGTTTGATAAAATGCATCTGCTTGATTTCTGACAGCCATTTATGAGGCTGTCTAATCTCTAACCCGACCTCTTTAAAGACTACTTTTTACTACTACATAGCTTTGGACTAAAAGACAGTTACCTTTTAGGTTAGGGTCTACATTATTGAAGTGAGTGAATCTTCCTTAAAAACTGGGGAAACAACATTTTTAGCTGCCAAATCCCCACTTCTTCTGAACCATCCGTTTTATACTTCATTTTTCTGACCCTTATCAATGCTGGCCCACGATAACGAACATGCAATTATAGACCAGAGTTGGCTACCATGGGCATTCACACCAGATTTTAACCTGAGTTCAGGACTGTTAAAACTATCGAAGCGTCTAACTACACGACGAACAATAACGCGCATCAGTTCTTGCCTTTCATCATTTTAATCACAGTGTCGTATTGACACCTGCTAGATGGTTAACGTAGACAACCCACAACTTATTTTAGGTAGTATTTATATTTCGCATCTCTTTACTCACATTTTACCTTGTTCCCAACTGGTTGTCTGACAGTTTGCTCAAAACAATCTTTACTTCCTAGCATAGATGCACTTACTCCATTGATTACCACTCTCAAAACACGCCATTATTATTCACCCCTTCGCGAAATTTCGTCCGCTGCTGCCTATTTATTCAGTCTACAATAGATTTGTCCTGTAAATTCATAACTTAAACATGTGTTCAGACTATTCACTTAACATTATATTTTCTGGACGCATCGTTTTACATATAACACTCGTGGACTTCACGCAAACCCATCACCTTATGATTTATATTATTGATCTTACCTCTCATATCATTTTCCTACATAACCATTTCGCCATCATTTTTTAAAACTTAATTCCGCTTCATCAAAAGATTCTCCACAAACCCTACGTGAGACAATTTGTTTAGTACCCTGTCAATATACATGGAAATCACATTGATAAGACCATTATCTTTAGTCATTGCGCAGACCTAGGATGAGGCGACAGGGTTTATCCAAAGGTAAAGATCAGTAACTGGACTATGATGCTCCGGCGTTGTATGGTAAAGTACTACACATGATCATGCTGTTTATCTTGTACAGATTTCATTTAAGCCTTTCCTGATGGCTCTGCAATATAATCTGATGTTATTGGACCAATATTTCCCCAGTTATTTAGTTAATCAGAAGACTATAAGATAGTTGTTGCCATGTTCGCCATACCCAAAATAAGGAGCTAAATAACTAATTTATTTATAAAATTGCAATTCTACAACAAGGTCATCCGTTAGTTCTTAACCATTTAACTGATGATGTCACAATCTCTCTATCCACTTTTGGAAGAACAGCTTACTATTCGTGGAAAAACACAACTCCTTGACTGTTTTCTGCCGTTCACGTCGATACTATAATAACTAGCGTTGTCATACGCCTACACGATTAACCCTTCTTTCGACGGATAAATCATTACAACCTGTTATTTAGTCATACATACGTGCGGCCATGAGCATGTGTGTATAATCTTAAGTGTATGCATATATGTTTCTTTCATGCTCATAAATTTGCATCACATTTAAATTAAATGAAGTTGGTACAATACCTTTCTATGCTGCGCTTTCCGTCTTGCTGTCTGACTGAAATGCACACACACAACTTCGTATTTGGTTTTATAGCAACGTTGTTGCCCGAACGGGATTAACCTTAGTATAATGTGTGGAATGAAACGTTAGATTGTTATGGCGTTCAATGAACATTATTCATCATGGAGTCAGATAGCGGACACCACATTAGCTCTTGTATCTATGGCTAGTAGTGTTTTGTATAACAGAAAATTTGAACGTCGATAAAGACTCGGCAGATATTTTTCAAACAGATCACATCGCATAATCAAAATTTACTAAAGCATCTAATTGTTTTAAACAATGACTTTATTCGTAAAATGATGATAAATATATAAATAAATAAATAAAAAATAAACAAAATATCTATTTGAGTGGAGATTTGGGGATAAATCCTATGTGCATGTTATCAATTCCAATATATCAGTTAGTTTAGTATATATTTATTAAAACAACTAATTCGTTTATTAAACAGCATTTGATTTCAGAGTAGTAAGGTAACAGACAATAAATGATGATGATGATAATAATAATAAGAAGAAGAAACTTAAAATGATTCAAATGATTTATAGCTCATCAAATGGATGCTTTTCATAGTATTGCGTCCTCTCAGCTTGACAGTCTAATTGTGAAGATATCATTGTTGTTCTACATCAAATCATTCATTCTCATTTTCAAATAGTAGTAATGAAGTTGGTAAAATTCAAAGCTTCATATATCAGTAGTAATTTTTGATCATTACATTTGGAATATGGTAAAAAAAGACTTGATTATCACAAACCTAAATATACAATTAAATAAATCTCGATCAATAATAAGATTAATTTCAGTGCATATTTCCAAACAAAGAATTTCCCTACATAATCAGTATGCACTATGTAACTAAAGTAGGACATACTAATTCAAAAGCAGATATATATATATATATATATCACAGTGATTCAACGCTTTGACATCATTTTCTACTATACGTTTTAATGACACCAACACTACAAGTTGTAAATAAAAATATATCCCGTTTATATTTTCCTCAGTAAGATGCATCTAAAAATCTTCCATAAATCATAAAATTATTCGTCCAAATCAGTATTTCAGTCAAAGTGATTTCGAAATGTATTCAGTGGTATTAATTGGGTCGAGTGACAAATGAATGTTCCAGAAAACCATTAAATATATAAGACTTATCATTGAAACACTAAAATAACAGTCATACTAACACTCTTGCTAGCATATTATAAATAATAATACATAGTTAAGTATATAATTAAAGTTTCACACACTTACATTAAGTAAATTTTTAGACAACTTATGACTAAAAAAAATCGCAAAATGTAGAAAGAATTCACTATTAATGAGTTTTCTCAAACGACATCTTCCGTTTGGTCCCATTAAGATTCTTCTCCTTAAAAGAATAAATTCATTTCAAAAACAGACTATCACAAAAAATAATCTAAAATTAAATAAAACTATAATGAATAAAATACATCAATAATACCACCATACAATATATATATATCAAATGAACAGGACCGTTACAAAATCCATAATTCAAAGAGTCAGTTGAAGAAGAGTGGACGCTTTATCAGTTAAGCGTTCAATGTTGTTTGTTGAAAGTATATGTGAATATATGGATAAATTGAATGTATTCACATTTCATTCATATTGCGCTAAACTAATCAGCAATTAATTCATGGAAGCCACAGAAATCAAAATACTAAAACAACGAAACAAATGGATACACTGACTACGACAACTATTGTGTCTAAATATTCAACAATAGTCAAACAGAATACTTAAAAGATGAATATTTAGATAGATTAAATGATAATCACGGAAAATGTTACACATTCAAAATATTTCAGAAAATCTCACGAAAAAAGTAGAAGGTTGTGGAGATTATTAACATTTTGAATGAGATCATGAACCGATTGATGTTAGACCACCGTTGGAAACCTGGAAACACTGGACGGCCGTTCCGTCCTATTGTGGGGCTGCTCAGCAATGCGCATCCACTGATAATTAACATGTGCTCACTAGTGACTAGCTTCGTGAGAAAATTCTCAGAGTTCTAGTGAGAAGCCGTGACCGATAAAGCTAATCCGTGTCGGGTAGAGACAGGTATCTACCTCAGCACAATGGAAGATGGTCGCGCAATTACGTGGATTGGTTGATGTTAGACACTAACACCATTGGATGCCAGCTCAGTGATCCAGTAGGTTAAGCGTTTGCGCGCGAGACTTAAGGCCCTAGGTTCAGATCCCGCGAGCGGGATCCTGGATGCGTACTGCTGAGGAGTCCCACAATAAGACAAAATGGCCGTCCAGTCCTTCCAGGTTTCTAACGGTGGTCTAATATCAAGCGGTTCATGACCTCAATCGAAAAAAGTAGAAAAAGAGTACTGAAGTGCGATCGTCTTTCTCATTCATAGTGTTAAAAGGTGAGCTTTAACTGGATTGCTCTCAGTTTATTTCAAGGCGGTTTCCTAAACAAACTGTGAAAATCAAGCTAAATAAATCCCTACAATCATCAAATACGTCACTGATTCGGGGCATATTTGTAAATTCCTTGCGAGTAATTGCTCTACTAAACTTCCAGTAAGAAATTGTGACTAATGAGGCATCGTATCCTCAGTGAAGATAATAAATGTTCGTTACAGTGCATTGGAAATTTAATCAAAGTAGAAAGTCTATATAATTCAGAACTATGTGCGTTTCAGTTTAGTTGATAAATACTAAATAAATATAAATGAATTGGAAATAACGCTCACTCTCATAATTAGTTTTCACGTGTTTTCTAAGATACTTCTTTGTTGAAAATGATTTCTCACAGAACTGACAGCGAAATTTAAATCCTAAAATAAGGAATGTGAAGATTGTTCGACAAACTGAAAGATCAACACGAATCAGATAGAAAGGTAATACTTTCAGCAGTAACAGTAATGATGATAATAATAATAATAATACTAACAGTAATGATAATGATAACAAAGATAGGAATAATGCATCTACTGAATTCCTTTCATCATATAATAGGAAAGCAACATTAAGATTTAATAAAATAAGATGGAAAGATAAACAAAAACACCTGACTACAACATCGCCATACATAGATCGACTTCAGACACTTAATTTAATCGTAGATGAAATAATGACATTGAGTTATGGATTATGCTTTCCAGTTATAAAATAAAATACCTAATTGTCAATAGAAGAAACAATCTCCTAAATTTTATAACGACCAGATAACATCAATACAAGAGCAATGATTTAAATCTCAGACAAATTGGAAAAAAACCATTATCTAATGTCTCCTTAACTTTTTCTTTCAAAAGTTATTCAAAAGATTTCAACTCATAATTCTTATAACTTGTGGCCTATGTGCCCTGTCAATGTATAACGTGATAATACCATCAATTAGAGAACAGTGAGTTATCGATCGGGTCAATGACGCCTAAAACCCGTGCGAGCAGTGTAGAGTACTTATCGGTCCTGCTTCCTGCCTAGCCCAGTCAGCTAGGTCCAGAACACCAATCTCAGCCTCTGCAATATCAATCATTTATTTCAAACATACTCGGTTTATTAAAAAGAAGAATATATTTGTAAAATCTCAGCGAATGAATTTTAAGTAAATCCAACGTTTCGCCTGAGAATCTGGTCCAAGCTTTTTCAAGGAAAACATACTCGGTTTATAATGCCAACCAGACAGACAACATCGTACTATAACATAGGAAACAACATTTGTACAAGATTTAGCCAAATGTGGCTGTGAATGTGGGAGGTAGTGAGTGATTAATAGACAGGGCATAATTCAAGAATGATAAATTGTATAATGGTAGTTCATAGGTCAAAATAAATCTCATAATAAGAGGGACATGAATATGAATGGTTTAGTTATTTAACAATCATACGATAAAAATATACGCATAGTATTAGTCCATAAATGGATCCCAAAAGTTACGATTCAGTATTCTTATCGGGATATAACAATAATGAACAAAACTGTCTTCATTATATTTAATTAATCTTTACAACAATCTATTGAACTGGAAAATAAAAGGAATAATTCACTGATGAAAAACTAAAGGATGTTGAATCAGACGTGGTCAGTATTTACCCTCATAAACCAAACAGTTCTCATTCGTTCAAAAGTAGACTCAAAACAATTCTTAGTGAAACATTCAAATATTCATATGTACATTAATTGAAAGACAAAACAGTTAACATATTCTATGTAACAAGATAGTGGAATCTTAAATGAATTTTACATGATAATTACTATTTAACAGTCTATTTGAATTAGTTTAATAATGAAAATATTTTATCATTCAATATGTATAAACAAATATTTTTGACAGTTGAATTCACGAATCGATCTACGCTAGATCATCATTGAAAACCCCGAAGCACTGGATGGTCGTCTCATTCTATTGTATGAGAGTCTACAGGAGTGCGCACCCACCATCCCGCACTCAGGAACTTCAGTCTCCAGTGCAAACGCTTAACCTCTAGAACCCTGAGCTAGCATCCAATGGCGTTAATGTCTGACTCCAATAAATTCATAATTTTGCTCCATCCATTGTCTGAGGTGAATAACTGTCTCCACTTGTTACGTTTTCTCAGTGGTCTAGAGGTTAAGCGTTTGAGTGCTAAACCGAAGGCTCTGAGTTCGAGTCACGCGTGTGGCATCATGAATGTGCACTATTGAGCAGTCCCATAATAGGACGGATCGGCCATTCAGTACTTTGAGGTTTTTAATGATGATCTAGCTTAGATCGACTTGTGGATTCAACTGTGAAAATACTATAATCACCACAAATCTGCATGCTGAAAATATTTTTTTTAAATAGTCAAAATAATAAATCATATTTGATTTTTTCTTTAATCATACCTTCATGGACAACTTTAACATGATCATTTAATGTACTCTGTTTTGTAAATTTCTTGTCACATTGTCCACAAGCAAACCTCACTCCTAAAAGGAAATAAATAAATAAGAAGTCTGGTAGGATAATAGATCAATTCACTTCAATTACGAATCATAGTAAAATAAGCTTGCATGTATAGATCAGACCATAATGACTCTGTGAAAGAGATCATCCGTTACATAAGAAAAATGAGATAAACAATAGAAAGCCAACTGCATAGTCAACATCAGTGACTAATGGATCTAAGATGAAATAACTAAGGATTGGGATTGGTAGGATGTCAAATGTGTTTAGATATATTAGATTAAACCTTATCATATAAGCCTGCTAGTTGGACTTGTTTAAATTGTTCTCTGTCGGACTGATAAACTGTATCATAATATTTCACACTGTATTGCTCCGCTCAAACGATAAGATAATGAACAGATAGTGTGTTTGTCATGTAAAGTGTACAACCGACTACAAATTCCAGGATGCATACAGCTATTGAAGCGAGCGAGTCGAGGTAAACATAGGTTAAAATCAATTGGTTTCGGTCAATCAGAAAGCCAACTGAAAAGATACATAAAGAGGGTGACTAATAATTACTTTCAGGTATTAGCTTTTGGAAGCTTATCTATCTAAGGGAACAAAACTATAGGCAGTATAGACATATTAAAGTAAATAATGGTGCAAAAGTTTCCTGAGAGGGTTAGTCAACAGAACAACACATATCAGTTCAGATGGAAAATGTACGATGCTCAGCTTATCATAATATAACACATATTTTATTAATTTTCAAAGACATAATCATATTATACAAATCAATAGTGTAACTCAGTGAAGAAGTAAATGTTTACGTAATCCAAGAACGTTCCAACAATCACATTTCGTTCAACGCCTATGGTTTGGAGTGGCCCAACTAGAAATCAATATTTCAAACCATCGGTTTATTGTGCAGAATTCAAGTTGAGATTCAATACCATGAGACGTTAAATAAACAAACAAACTGACATGTGACAACACCATTTATGGATCATCATTTTTCACTTCAAAATAAAAAATAAATCTTAATCTGAAAAGTAAATTGGAAACATGATTGATGTATATAACTTTCATCACTCCAATCTTATCCTTTCGTTCCTTCGATTTTACCGACTATTATTGAAGTGTTGTGTGTCAGCTACCGCATTACTGAACTGCTCGATGGAAACCGGTCGCATTAGAGGAATCTTAATCATTTGTAATTAAAAAGTAACTTAGATCTATTAATGAAAATCAACAGAACAATCAGTGGACTACGACTTTACTCAATCACTCGTTTCCATGGTAAACTGAATCATAAAGCCATTATAATCCATCATCGATTAGACACTTTGGATTACAAACTTTAAGGATCATTACAGAGGAAACAACATACTTCAATTTATACGATCGAGTAATACAACTAGCCACAAACCAATAATGTTAATATACTAGTGAAAATATGAATACCTTGATTTATCAATACATTCTAACAAATTTCAAAAGAATCCCTCCTTATTGAACAAGCTCATTTCCCATTAGTCAGTCAGTAACAACGTAGAACTTCGTACGTACGTACATCAGTTCGAGTTGCCACACCACATTAGCACAGAGATGCAGTTGTCCATTCAAATCCCATAGTGGTAGAGGTAATAAGAGTATAAGCAATAATCGGGAAGATTAGGGTTTGGAGATGTTATATAAAGAGTATAATCCAGTGAAATAAATTTGGAAAGAGGAAAAAAGGGACATGGAGAATTCAGAAGATTAGAATTTGGGAGAACACAGAGAGTGCATGCACCTGCGCCATTGCAAACGATTTTGAGCCATGTCATTCAGGGTCTCTAACCATCGGTTGCTATCATCTCGCGGTCCCCAACCAGGTAGTCTACACCTACCGACATGACTCAATCCACTTGTCAGTGACTTCATGAACTTGTGCCATGTTTTGGTTTGGCCGCCCCTAGCTTTCTTCCAACCTACTCCTATACCACTGAACATAGCACATCGAGGCAGTCGGTGGTTGGGCATATGTAACACGTGTCCCAGCCATCTCAACTGATGAAGTTTCACTACTTCATCAATGGATTTGCCATCCTTACCTAGTACCCGTTTCCTAACAACTGTGTTACTTACTCGATGGTCCCATGATATACGAGCAATGTTTCGAAGACACCTATGATCGAATACTAGTAGCCTATGAATATCCTCTACTCTTACCGGCCATGTTTCACTGCCATAAAGTAGGACGGAACGAACTGCTTCGCAGTAAACCCGTCCTTTGGTTGATAGACAGATATCTCGCCTACACCATAAATGACGCAAGTTGGCAAAAGCTAGTCGAGCCTTCTGTATTCGTGCTGAGATTTCGTCACACACCAGACCACAAGGGCTGATCAGACTTCCAAGATAAGTGAAGCGGTCGACACACTCAACTACTTCACTCCCTATCACTAGTTCGGGTGTCGATGTAACCCAATCCTGAAGCAACATTTTGCATTTCGAGGGAGATAATCTCATCCCGAACATGCTTGCATTGTTGCTTAGAGTGGTCAGAAGACTCTGCATTTTGTCAGCGTCTTCACCAAATAAAACTATGTCATCTGCATATTCTAAGTCAACAAGTGAACCTCCCGGTAGAAGTTCAACCCCTGGAAATTTAGATGAGGAGAGTGTTATCTCTAAAAGTACGTCGACCACAAAGTTGAACAAGAATGGGGAGAGTGGACAGCCCTGACGAACACCACTTGAGGTAATCAATTCTGATGACAGTTCGCCATAAGCTCTCACTCTACCAGTTGTGTTCGAGTAGAGAGCCTTTATAAGGTTAATGTACTTCTTTGGTACTCCTTTCAGTGACAAACACTGCCATAGAACCTCACGATCAACAGAGTCGAATGCCGCCTTAAGGTCGAGAAATACTACCATAGTGGGGCGTCTGAATGTGTGTCTGTGTTCTAGAACCTGACGTAGTGTGAATATCTGATCTATACAACCACGTACAGGTCGAAAACCGGCCTGGTTTTCTCTAATCTGCTCTTCACGAGCTTTGATTAGGCGTCGAAGTATTATTGAAGCTAATATTTTAGACACTGTATTAGTCAAACTGATTCCTCTGTGATTGTCACAAGAGCACTTTTGTCCTTTCTTATAGACTGGCACAATCAGTGATTGAGACCAGTCAGATGGGATTACGTCCAGTTCCCAAATTCTACCTAAGACCTCGGTTAATCTCATTGCTAATACTGGACCACCATCCTTAAAAATCTCAGGAGTAAACCTGTCAGGGCCTGCTGCTCTCCCTCGTTTCAGATTTCCTATGGCTTTTTCAACTTCGAAAAGGGACGGAGGACTTACATTAACTTGCCATTCAGGTTGACTGGAGATCGTGGGAAACCGAAGTGTGGCTGAAGGCCAGTTGAACTGATCCCTGAAGTGTTCTGCCCATCGATCCAATCTCCTGGATTGAGAATGTATAATATGTCCATCTTTCTCTGAGATTGTTTCGCTAACAGTCGGTTTCCTAATACCGGTTTCCTTAACAAGTCTGAACAATTGTCTGCTATTACCTATTGCCGCTGCCTTTTCCATCTCTCTTGCTTTTGCTACCCACCACTGTTCGCGATCATTGTGTAGACTTCTTGTCAGCTTGCGCTTAGGCTGACTCCGCTCTTCACTATGTTCAGAGCCGGGTGGAATGAGTTTCCGAGCATCTATCAGTGCGATAGATGCTGCTGAGATCCAGTGTTGCTCCCTAACCTTCTGGTTTACCTTACTATCAGATATCACTGCTGTTTCCACAGCTTTTCGGATATCATTCCATGCTGCATCGGGGTGGGCATCACATACATGGCTGCCTAACTGTTTTCCTAGTTGTTCCTGAAATATACTCTTAGCTTGACTATCATTAAGTAGGCCCCTAAGAGGTTTCCTTGCAGCGTCTTTCCTACGTCCAGTAAGACGCAAGCAAATACGCGCTCGCACTAGAGCATGATCTGAATCTAGGCATGTGCTCCAGAATGAGAGACAGTCTTCTATCGAGCCCCTCCATCGGTGGCTGATAGCGATGTGATCTATTTGGGTCCAACGTTGGGACGAATTAGGGGGTCTCCATGTTAAAAAATGTTTTTCCTTATGCTTAAAGTTAGTATTTGCAAGGAACAGGCGGTTATCTGAGCATAGCTGCAACAGACGGTCGCCATTATCTGTTCTTTGAGCCACGACACCATAAGATCCACCTAGGTGTCTTTCCCTATCGCTTAGTTTACCTACTTGAGCATTAAAGTCACCGGCCACTATTACTACATCCGAGCGCTTAGCTTTTCGGAGAAGGTCCGAAAGCTTTCTGTAAAACTCATCTTTTACATCATCTGAGCTGCAGTCAGTGGGAGAATAGGCAGAGACGACGAAGAGGCAACGACGATTGTCCCTATCTTTCCGGATTCTTACTGTTCCGTTCAGTCGGACAGCGCACAAACGACGGTCTACTGGGATCCACTCTAAGAGAGCTAGTTCTGCCCTAGGACTCAATGCTATACCTACGCCGGCGAGGCCACCGGAAGCAGAATCAGGGCTTCCAGATACACGAAGCGTAAATCGAGTCGGTTCTTTATTTTGGCATGGTGAGGTCAAATGAATGACGCTACTTGAATCCTGTATGCGCGTTTCGGAGACGCAGCACACATCGATGGCACGAGATTCTAAAGTCCTAGCTAAGGAAGCCTGCTGTCCTATTTGGCAAAGTGTTCGTACGTTAAAAGCTCCTACGTGTAGTTTAGAGCGTGGTTTCAGGAGACCAGGAATGGCGTTCCACGTACTCGAATCGTTTGCACTAGCGGTGCGAGGTGATAAAGAGACGTGGGGAGGGTTAGTCGGGGAGATAAGAGAGGTATTAGAAGGTGTAGGAAAGATTTGAATGTGACCACCTTGGTCTCGTGTGCTGTTACGGGTATGAGGGCTGATATCACTTCCCGGCTGCCAACACCGTGGAAGGGTATTTCTTGAGGAACCTGAAAAGGAAATTGGATTAGTGTTGGTCTTAACGACCTGGGAGCGTGACCGCAGAGCCCAAGGGACAACTGCTTGAGGCCGGTCGCGCAGGGCCTTTTTGTGGAAGGTTTTTGACGTGTTAGCTCCGTTCTTCAAAGGGCCTTACCGCCGGAGACGGAAATCCGTGAGGTAAGGTGAGGTGTGACATTTTTAGGGTCGACCTTTTCTAACCCCAACCCTCCTTGTGGGAAGGCAGCATTGCTGTCATGCTGGATGTCCGAGGGAAACACCTTACTGCTGTCACACCCCTCTACAGTCAGCAGTACGACTTCGCCCTCAGACATTGAGTTGCTACTTTTAGCCTTACCGTTCACCAATCGACCTGCCTGGCATGGTAGAACCTGCAGGAACATATGTTCTAGCCAATATAGCTCGGTTGGGTCATCACGATAGGCAAGCCCGACCACCGCGTCAAGGTAGCAGCTTATAATCATGTAGTTCATACCTTTCGAAAATTTAATTACTCGTACTTTTCTTATAGTAAGAAAACGTCAATAAAAAAACAGAGTGAAATAAAAATGGGATTAGTGAACAGGGTGTATAGGCATATTAAAGTCCACAAAAATACACGTAAATGTAATTGTGTGATTGTAAAAAAAGACTATACCTTGATGAATTGATTGTATGTGTTTATTTAGTGGACATTTCGCAGTGAACTTCTTATCACACTCATCACATTGGAAAAATATACCTATAAGAACCGAGAAAGCTGAGATTTGGTAAAATATGTTTAACTATTTAAAATGATAATCCAACTAAAAAATAAGTGATTCCTAAGAGTTCGAGCTTCACAATATGTGACCAAATGAAAGGTGAGAGAGGATTACGATCTACGATTTATTAGTTGAAATTCGTGTTTTTTAACCTACTATTTATCTTTCGTGAAACAGAGCTTCCAGTGGAATATTATCAATATGAGTTGCCAAATAATTAAAAGTCCAAGAAACATGAAGAGTGATTTCAATGTGATGTGTATGATCAATATTTGATGAAACTGTGCGTAAAATACGATTTCATGATAGAATATAATTATAACCAACCAATAGGAATTACCTTCATGAGCAGACTTTACATGTAAGTTTAGATTGGATTTACAATTAAACTTTCTATCGCATTGCTTACAAGTAAGTTTTATTCCTAATGAGAGAAAAAAAACAATAATTAACAAAATATATACTTATATAAATTCGATATCAATATTCAGGGTAATTAGCTTTCATTAACTCAGGTGGTCGAGACATGTATTATGTAGGCTCGAAAGCTACTACTTCGATGGACGATGTTGCACGGTGTAAAATTAGGCTGAAAGATATGGCATGACAAACGTAAACGAATCAACCCATGAGGTCATTACCAAATGGATTAAGCCATGTACGTAGGTGTAGACTATTTGCTCGTGGTATGAACGATTACCGAAACCAGTGGCTGCGCAGACATGGATTAGAATCGATCATAGTGGCTCAAGTGTTTTTACATTTCTTCTTAACCTTAGATTCTAAAGTCCTAAAGTCCTTAAATACTTTTTTATTCCACACCTAAACCTTTTCAACTATTATTTATCATTTTGACTACTACCACTACATTAGAATTGGTCTAGATAGTCTTGTCGTGCAGCGCTAAATGTGGCGTGACAACTGAAACCCATGTATATAAGTAATACATACCAAGCAGAGTATTAAAACTGACTACTAACTGATTGAAACATTAGAAACCGAAGAAACATGTTAAAACAATGCAAATGAAAAGCATACACGAAATAATTTTTCTGATGAGAATGTATGAGGCGTACCAGTTTCACAGTAGAACGTCTCTTTCAAAACCGAAACATACCTTTATGAATAGCTTTCACGTGGTTATTTAACATACATTTGGACGAAAACGTTTTACTACATTGGTCACATGGATACTTTATTCCTAATGAAAAAAACAAGTATGAATACTGATAAATTTTTATGAAACAAATTAAAAATGAATAAATGTCGTTATGTACTAAAGGTTGGAAGTATAAATATCATCCTAGATATACATAACCATTTCAAGAGAAAAGGATAAGAAAAAAAGAACAGTCATTCCCATAGAAGACCTTGGACTATAATTATGGTATGAAGAGTGAAAACAATCACAGCAATTGAAATTTAAGTACTCCAACAGGATAGTAAGAGCTACAACCCACATTCTACTTGTAGAAAACACTGACGACCAACACTAGTCATTTTCATTAAAATAATATTATATCCCGATAAGAATAATGAATAGTAACTCTTGGGATCCATTTACGAACCAATAAATACTTTTATCAACTCCGCCCGGAGTCCCTCCGGGGGCTACTGCCAGCCCCAATCCTAGATAAAGGAGGAGGGTTGGGCATAGGGTTAGCGACCCCATCCCGTAGAAAACTAACTCGCTAAAAAAACACTAACCAGAAAAAATTATTCGAACCTTTTAAACTGTGCCCTGGTAGTCAGAAGGTCTTCATTTAGAAGAACTATGACGCCTCATGATGAAAGCCGAGTTCCTTCGGAAGCCACGAGGTTGATGCTTCTTCTGACAACCAGAGCAACCATTTACTTAGGTACATGGAATGTTCGTACAATGTGGGACAACGGAAGAGCCTTCCAAATTGCTGCAGAAATGAGGAGATACAACCTAGAGGTGCTTGGGATCAGTGAAACACATTGGACGCAAGTTGAACAACAACGACTAACTTCAGGAGAGCTCCTGTTATACTCCAGCCATGAAGAAGTAAATGCCCCACATACACAAGGACTTGCATTGATGCTGTCCAAACGAGCACAAAACGCACTTATAAGATGAGCATCTCATGAACCAAGGGTCATCAAAGCCTCCTTTAAAACAAAGAAAGAGGGCATTTCAATGAACATCATCCAATGCTATGCGCCTACCAACGACTACAATAAAGACGCTAAAGATCAATTCTACGACGGGCTGCAGTCAATCATCGAGAAGTGCCCAACAAAGGACTTGACCATTCTGATGGGAGATTTCAATGCCAAGGTTGGAACGGACAACACTGGATATGAAGACATCATGGGACGACATGGACTAGGAGAAAGGAACGAAAATGGTGAGAGATTTGCAAACCTATGTGCCTTCACTAAACTGGTCATAGGCGGCACCATATTCCCACATAAACGCATGCACAAAGCCACATGGACTTCACCGGATAACACCACGCAAAACCAAATCGACCATATTTGCATCAACAAAAGGTTCGGGAGGACTATAGAGGACGTGAGAACCAAGAGAGGAGCTGATATAGCCTCAGATCATCACTTGCTGGTCGCCAAGGTGAAATTGAAACTCAAGAAGCACTGGACGATGGGGCGGACAATATCACAAAAGTTCAATACGGCCTTTCTTCAAGATACTGACAGACTCAACAAATTCAAGATAGTCCTCAGCAACAAGTTCCAGGCCTTTCATGATCTACTCAATGGAGAAGGAACTACTGTGGAGAGCAACTGGAAGGGGATCAAAGAAGCAATCACTTCAACATGTCATGAGGTTCTGGGCCACAAGAAGCACCATCACAAGGGATGGATCACTGTTGATACACTGGATAAGATTCAAGAAAGGAGGAACAAGAAAGCAGCAATCAATACCAGCCGAACAAGAGCAGAGAAAGCCAAGGCACAAACTGAATATGCAGAAGTAAACAAACAAGTGAAAAGGAGCATCAGAACCGACAAACGTAAATATGTGGAAGATTTAACAACGACGGCGGAAAAGGCTGCAAGAGAAGGAAACATGAGACAACTGTATGACACGACAAAGAAACTCTCTGGAAATCGCCGCAAACCAGAACGACCAGTGAAAAGCAAGGAAGGCAAAGTAATCACCAACATTGAAGAATAACGAAACAGGTGGGTAGAACACTTGAAAGAACTCTTGAATCGACCAGCCCCACTGAACCCACCCAATATCGAAGCAGCACCCACGGACCGCTCAATCAATGTTGGCCCACCAACAATTGAAGAAATCAGCATGGCCATCAGACAAATCAAGAGGGGCAAAGCAGCAGGACCAAACAACATTCCAGCAGAGGCACTGAAAGCAGACGTAGCGGCAAGTGCAAGGATACTCCACATTCTCTTCAATAAGATTTGGGATGAGGAACAAGTACCGAAAGACTGAAAAGAAGGACTTCTGATCAAAATACCAAAGAAAGGCGATCTCAGCAAGTGTGATAACTACAGGGGCATCACTATTCTCTCAATACCGGGTAAAGTCTTCAACAGGGTATTGCTAAACATGATGAAAGACTGCGTAGACGCCCAACTTCGTGACCAACAGGCAGGATTCCGTAAGGATAGATCCTATACAAACCGAATCGCAACTCTACGGATCATTGTGGAACAATCAATTCAATGAAATTCATCACTCTACATCAACTTCATTGAATACGAAAAAGCATTTGATAGCGTGGACAGAACAACACAATGGAAACTTCTTCGACACTACGGCGTGCCTCAGAAGATAGTCAATATCATACAGAACTCATATGATGGATTAAACTGCAAAATCGTGCATGGAGGACAGTTGACAAAGTCGTTCGAAGTAAACACAGGTGTCAGACAAGGTTGCTTACTCTCACCCTTCCTCTTCCTCCTGGTGATCGACTGGATCATGAAGACGTCAACGTCTGAAGGGAAGCACGGGATACAATGGACATCTAAGATGCAGTTAGACGATCTAGACTTCGCAGATGATCTGGCCCTTCTATCCCAAACGCAACAACAAATGCAGGAGAAGACGAACAGTGTAGCAGCAGCCTCAGCAGCAGTAGGTCTCAATATACACAAAGGGAAAAACAAGATTCTCCGATACAACACAGCATGCAACAATCCAGTCACAATTGACGGAGAAGATTTGGAAGATGTAAAAACCTTTACGTATTTGGGCAGCATCATTGATGAACACAGTGGATCTGATGCAGATGTGAAAGCGCGGATCGGCAAAGCAAGAGCAGCATATTTACGACTGAAGAACATCCGGAACTCAAAGCAACTGTCAACCAACACCAAGGTCAGGATTTTCAATACAAATGTCAAGACAGTTCTACTATATGGGGCGGAACCCTGGAGAACTACGAAAGCCATCATCCAGAACATACAACTGTTTGTCAACAGTTGTCTACTCAAAATACTTCGGATCCGTTGGCCAGACATTATTGGCAACAACCTACTGTGGGAAAGAACAAACCAGATCACAGAGGAGGAAGAAATCAGGTAGAAGTGCTGGAAGTGGATAGGACACACATTGAGGAAAGCACCCAACTGCGTCACAAGGCAAGCCCTCACATGGAATCCTGAGGGCCAAAGGAAAAGAGGAAGACCAAAGAACACATTAGGTCGAAAAATGGAAATATACATGAGAGAAATGAAAAAGAATTGGATGGAACTAGAAAAGAAGGCCCAGGACAGAGTGGGCTGGAGAGTGTTGGTGAGCGGCCTATGCTCCATTAGGAGTAACAGGCGTAAGTAAGCAAGTAAATATTTCCATCGTATAATTTTTAAATAACTAAACTATTCATATTCATGTCCCTCTTATTATGAGATTTATTTTGACCTATGAACTACCATTATACAATTTATCATTCTTGAATTATGCCCTGTCTATTAATCACTCACTACCTCCCACATTCACAGCCACATTTGGCTAAATCTTGTACAAATGTTGTTTCCTATGTTATAGTACGATGTTGTCTGTCTGGTTGGCATTATAAACCGAGTATGTTTGAAATAAATGATTGATATTGCAGAGGCTGAGATTGGTGTTCTGGACCTAGCTGACTGGGCTAGGCAGGAAGCAGGACCGATAAGTACTCTACACTGCTCGCACGGGTTTTAGGCGTCATTGATCCGACCGATAATTCACTGCTTTCTAATTGACGTTATCATTACGTATATATTAACTCAGACCACAAGTTATGACAAATATTGTTATATCCTAGTGAAGATTACATTACGAGTAACGACTGAGATCTATTAATGAACTAATATTATTTATGCATTCTCATGGTATAAATATTCAGTAACTAGATTACGTATATCTATATTCCCCTTGTTATAAGCTTTGTTCTGACCTATAATTTATTATTGTGCGACTTACTGTTCTTAAGCTATGTTCAGTTTATTAACTACTGCCTCGCACGTTCACAGCCACTTTTTGGCATTATTGTGTACAAATGTTATTTCCTATTTCATGGAGCGTTGCGGTCTGTTTGTTTGATATATAAACACAGTATGTTTGAAATGTATGATTCACATAGTGGAAGTTGGTATTGGAATTCTGGACGGGCTAAGCGGACATAGGACCAGTAAGGACGCTAGGCTGCTCACACCGGTCCATCGTCATTGATTTGGCACAGTGCTAAGATTGTAGAAGTCGTATTTTGATTGGTGAATAAATCGCGTGATAAAAAGCCGGACATAAAGTCACAACAAATGTATCTTTCAGTAACAGTTTATTCATATAAAACAACAAAATATTATTCAAAATTCTATAACTTCAAGACCTGAAAAGAATATTCTTAATCATTATCAATCTTTTAAGTATTCATCATAGTATTTCTGTGTAGGCTGAGATTCTATCCAGATGACTAAACCGACTCAAACAGTTTCCGTACCAGAAGATTCATATCTACATATGTTAAAAAGTTAGATTCGGGAGAAGCTATAGAAGAATTATATGTGAATCATCATTATAAGTTCAGCAAAGTACATACAAAAAAATTTGAAGCACAATAATAGACTAACCTTCATGAATATTCTTATTATGTTCATCTAAGCCTACTTTATAAGCAAATTCTTTGTTACACAGATCACAGGTAAATTTTACACCTAATTAAAAAAATCATACGAATTAATAAAACCTATGTCATTAAAAAAAAGTAAAACAATTCTTTAAACAAAATCAGTAAATATACTAGTGGATGGTAATAAATTATCACTATATGACTCTGCGACGCAGGTACATCCAGCTGACAAGACCGAAATAGGACAAATCAGTCAGTTAGTGACAACGTAGAACTTCGTACGTACGCACATCAGTTCGAGTTGCCATACCCCATTAGCACAGAGATACAATTGTCGATTCAAATCACGTAGTAGTAGAGGTAGTAAAAGTATAAGCAGTAGTCGGAAAGATTAGGGTTTGAAGATGTTATTCAAGGAGTATAATCTAGTGAAATAAGTTTGGAAAAAGAAAAATAAGGGACACGAAGAATTCAAATCAGAAGTTGGGAGAATACAAAGAGTGGATGCACCTGCGCCATTGCAGACGATTTTGAACCATGTCATTTAGGGTCTCTAACGATCGGTGGCTATCGTTTCGCGGATCCTAACCAGGGATTTGTGCCATTTCTTGACCTGGCCGCCCCTAGCTTAATTCCAACCTACCCTTACACTAAAAAACATCGTAGGTCAATGCAGTCGGTGGTTGGACATACGAAATGCGCGTCCTGGATTCCACTGCTAACTACCATCGATCATTGCTCATAAAGCTTGTGACTTAAGGCAATATCGAGGCAACCTGCACAGGATGCACATAAGCCAACAAGAGACTGATCAACTGCAGTCCTACACAATGATGGGAAGATACAAGCAACCAACAACACCAACTAAATCTGACTGTTAAATGTTTATTAATAGTATTTCTTGACATACACAATGAAAATTGACCTATATATGTACACTTGGACACCTACAACTCCTGAAACAAATAGAATTTAATGCCTTTAAGTTTCGAGACAAATAACACTTCCAGAACACTGAGTCTGAATACAATGCTAATACAAATTATCTATTTCATTTAATTCACGATACAACGGAATGTGATGGCTTTCCGAATGTTCTGTGAGACGCAATGACCAGCAAAGTTTTAGCACATTAGGTATAAGAAAATTGGATGATTATGAAGCAACATTTCAAACTAAATAAGACTAGAAATAAAAATTACTGGATCAAGGGTAGTGTTTGACAAAAGCCATGATTACTATGATACCCAGAGAACTTCTATCCTATTATAACATCAGTAACTTGATGTGTCATAGCACATCAGACGATAGACAATCAGAATGGTTAACATGTTGAGACACCTCTCATAAGGAAGTAAGGTCGGTTAAAGTAATCAAATTATTGAAAGTTAATGAAACAAGTAATAATGACGTGGATGAAAAGTGTATCCTCAATGATGATTTGATAGGAATACATGTAGTATACGATTTCAATGAAGAACACTAACATAACTTACCTTTATGATTAGCTCTCAAATGTTCATTTAAATGAAATCTAGATGTATATAATTTGTCACACTGATTACATGGATATTTTATTCCTAGTGAAAACAAAATTATTAAAATTCGTAAATGTACTTAAACAAATAAAAAAGAATCAGTAAATAAGGTAATCTAATAGGAGGTTTACAGCATACATAAATAAACATAACCATTTCGGGAAAGAATTAGTGATGTTGATAATTAATAATTTTACTATCTTCATTTTCATATTTTTATGAGGTATTGACATACTAACCGGATACTTAAACACAATCAGGTAGTGTTCATAAGAGATATTTCTCCAAGCCCGCGATCTGACGATCTAATCCACAAAGGAGTGGCAAGATGGGAAATGCATCATTTATCAAAATTCGGAACTGGATTAACAGAAAAACAATCTTAAAACGAATGCTAGTTTGAATTTTCAAAATGTGTGTACCATCAACTCCGGCGGTATATTATTCGAACACTGAATAGTGGATTTTTAAAAGCACCGTAACAATATCTAGGTATTTTTCAGAAAACATCCATCGACTGAGACAGTGAAAAATGCAAACTGACTCTTGTCTTCTCAAAAGATGGTGGTTGAGCCAATGGCTTATTCATTACCGTTCATTATTGTGGATATATGGCTATCACAGGTCATATATAACTGACGTATTTACTAGCTTCCCGTACATCGAACAACCTGAAACCCACTAATTGGAGGTCTAACGACACGCGCATGTACATGAATCGCCATTCTAGTCGAGCGAATCCCCCGCACTTTTATAATAGAATGGTCGGAAATACATCAACGTTGGCAACGCTATCAGACATAAATTTGAAGTCATACCCACGGGAGTAGGGACTTATTATCTTGTTATGCAACTAATGTTCATTCGTCGCATTTGTACACAGCAATCGTCGTTTTTCACCTTTTCAATGACAAACCAAACCGAACTCCAGCCATTCTTTTGTTGAATCAATAAGCCTTACTATCACGTCGAGCTTACCACTTTTGTAGCACAGTATCTGATTTCGGTTCGATCGTACGAAGATACGCTGAACATAAATCTTCCAGTTAACTCCGTATATTACTTAAGCTATTCCCGTTTGTGCGACTGCAATAATGAGAAGCCAAATACGGGTTGGGTTTATTTATTTATTTATTTATTTGAACACATAAATATTGGTACAAGAGGGCATCAAATATATATGCGCCACACAAAACAATGAGAATGGGAAGAGAAGGGAAAAAAAGGTAAGGAGCGTAAAACAAGAACAATAACGAACAAAGTAGTGTAAGGTAGCTTAATAATAATAATAATAATAATAATAATAATAATAATAATAATAATAATAATAATAATAATAATAATAATAATAATAATAATAATAATAATATAATAATAATAATAATAATAATAATAATAATAATAATAATAATAATAATAATAATAATAATAATAATAATAATAATAATAATAATAATAATATAATAATAATAATAATAATAATAATAATAATAATAATAATAATAATAATAATAATAATAATAATAATAATAATAATAATAATAATAATAATAATAATAATAATAATAATAATATAATAATAATAATAATAATAATAATAATAATAATATAATAATAATAATAATAATAATAATAATAATAATAATAATAATAATAATATAATAATAATAATAATAATAATAATAATAATAATAATAATAATAATAATAATAATAATAATAATAATAATAATAATAATAATAATAATAATAATAATAATAATATAATAATAATAATAATAATAATAATAATAATAATAATAATAATAATAATAATAATAATAATAATAATAATAATAATACTAATAATAATAATAATAATAATAATAATAATAATAATAATAATAATAATAATAATAATAATAATAATAATAATAATAATAATAATAATAATAATAATAATAATAATAATAATAATAATAATAATACTAATAATAATAATAATAATAATAATAATAATAATAATAATAATAATAATAATAATAATAATAATAATAATAATAATAATAATAATAATAATAATAATATAATAATAATAATAATAATAATAATAATAATAATAATAATAATAATAATAATAATAATAATAATAATAATAATAATAATAATAATAATAATAATAATAATAATAATAATAATAATAATAATAATAATAATAATAATAATAATAATAATAATAATAATAATAATAATAATAATAATAATAATAATGGGGGAAACAGAAAGGTACAAGCAGAAGAAATCCTTCAATTAAGGAAGATACAACCACTTTTTATGAAGAAAGTAAAAGAAGGTTACAGCAGGATCGCCACTGGTTTCTATTCCGAGCCATATCTGATAACGTCTCTAGCCACTGTGTCGCAGCATCTCTCAGACCCCAACCAGGGAGACGTGAAGGACCAACACAGGCCAACCCTTTGCAGGTTTTCTTTCATACTCCGATACCATGTCATACACTGACCACCTCTCCGCTTTTTCCAACCAGTCCCAGAGTCCGCAAATATTTTTTTGTCTGACATGATATTTTATTCTGTATAATATGCGATATTCTTGTATTCCATTGACATGAACTATGCTCAGTCTGTGATTTGTTATAACTCTAAGTATTTTCCATATATGTGATTTCATCCTAATTATCAATCAAAATGGGTGCACAATCAATATATAAATGAGTGTATTTTCTACTAGAGTTGTCGTCGTCATAGTGTTTTGGGTTAATAAATCATCACTTATACCAGTCTTTGTGTTCTTACGTTTGTATCGTGGGAATTGCAGAGGTCCCTTATTCCGATTATAAGTGATAAGCGTTTCCGACACAACAATCAGCGACGACCAGATACAAAAAGTAACATTAAAAGAGCCAAGACAATAAGCATTCAAATGACAAGTTACGTTTGTATCGTGGGAATTGCAGAGGTCCCTTATTCCGATTATAAGTGATAAGCGTTTCCGACACAACAATCAGCGACGACCAGATACAAAAAGTAGCATTAAAAGAGCCAAGACAATAAGCATTCAAATGACAAGTTATAACAGTAAATAATAACTGTATCCTTTTCTTAAAGTGTGTTATTGTAACTGAACGACCGAATGTACCACGATTATTATCATGGCGTCCATAATTTGTTAGATGTTGGTGAAGTTGGATTCCGTTTAATAATTAGTTGAATGCAAATACTATATGGTTTGAGTTGATAATAAGAAGATCGGGGCTGCGGCAGTCAGTCTAGTTCAAATATCAGTATGTATGCGATTTCCACCAATTTCCCTTTTTATAACCACAATTGGGGTTTATTAATGAGGATATAACAGATGTGACATAACTCGGTCTTTTTCTAGTCATCAGCTACTTAAAGCATGACGTAAGATACTGTTTTCTTCAGGAGAAAAAATTGATATGGTATCCAGTTTTAATTCTACAGTCATTTGAGTTGCTGTGCAATAGACCAGACATCATCTTTAAATACTTCAGGAAGCTCTATAATCTTTCAATTTGTTAAGTCTGTCACTGGATTCGTCTGTACTTGAAGATTAATGTTGTGGTAAAATATTAAAAATAACCTCAAGGAAATAACCAGTTCGAAATTATTAGTGACATATTGTAACACAAAACAAGAAATAATTGATGTGACTGGCACTAAGCAATGGCTCGGGTGCTGTATTCTCGTACATTCTAGTAGGAGGATTATATGAAGCTATAATCCGTACAGATCTCTCGATCACAAATGCCGAGAACTATGAGTAAGTAGGAAAGAGAGCACTAGCATTGATGTTCACTATCAAAACATTTTATAAGACAACGTATTTTCGACTACTGTGCTGAATGCACATGAGGTTGTGACAATACCAGATGATCAGGAGCCAGGTCCTGTAGATGAAGCCCGGAGTCCAGAATCAAATGAAACACTACTGGTACTGTCTAGCTGCGAAAATAAACGTCAGCTCGAACAAATTGTGGTCCACGTGCTATTAGTCGAGAAAGCTATGGTGACTCGTATTCAGAAAATAACTGGAGCAACACGATGAACCAAATTGTACCAGATGTTACTCAAAATCACCGGAAGACAGAATTTTATATTGAGTCAACTTATCCCATTTCTAATGACAGTGTACCAGATATTGATTCTCAGAATAATGCATATGATTTTGATGAACCTTCTTATAACAATGAGGGAAATATGTCAGCTGAGTCGAATGATGGCCAAAAATCTAATCTAATTCTGTTAGACGTTGACTTTCTTAATGACTCGTTATCTGCTAACGAGATTCCAAGTCAGAGCTCTGACTTTAGAAGTACATATCCGAAGTTACCCGCTAATCGTGTTTCGAGCTACACTAATCAAAGATGTATATAACAAGAATGAGACAATATACGACAAGCAAATAGAAAAATTATTTATTCTATCTAAATTAGATCAGTGGGTAGGATACTTAAGTGAAAGTAGAACCGGTATCTAAACACCTATTATCTCCAAGCAACTTGAATAATAAAGTGACTCAACCTCGACAACTGCAAAAACGATCTTCATACGTTGGTAGTACTTTTATTAGAGGAAGACACTGGATGTCCAACGATGAAACCGAGCCGATAGACACAAACAGTTTATGTGAGGCAACAGAGACATTATTATTTCGAACCAGAGGCACAAATCGACACTAGAATTTACGAACAATCAATGGCGCATGAACACACTTTGGTCACTGATGGTAAACGAAGTCATAACGTTGGTTTATTGTATTATTGAATACATCCTTGGTTTATACAGTAAAAGTGTCGAAAAAATGTAGTAAAATACAAACAGAATTAACGAACAGGGTAAGATTAGCACATTAAAACCTGAAAAAATCTTACAAATAAAAATGCTTTGTCAAAGAAATCATTACCTTGATGAACGGATTGTAGATGTCTGCAAAGAGCGCCATTCGAAGAGAATATTTTACTACATTCATCGCATGGAAAAGTTATACCTGTAGGAACAAGAACAAATGAAAACAAATCATCTCACATATTCTGAGTACTACATATGCCCAAAGTTGACTGAAAACAAATTTTAAGTCAGATAATGAAACGATCATATGTATTGACTCAGAAACAAAAAAAACAGTTGACATATTCGATGAAAAAAAAGAGCATTGGGACCTCAAAACCATCGGAAATCCTACTTAATATTCAGTGTTTAGCTGTGTATCTGAATCAGTTGAATAATGTAAATCAGATTTGGATTTTTATTTTAAAAAGTCATTATAGGGAAACTACTAAATGATATTTTAATCAATCATACCTTGATGAACAGCAGTAACACGCTTATTTAGTGTACATCTTGTCATAAAATGAATTTAGCCCCTTATTAAGTGCCTATATCTAAGGAGTTACGGAACTTGAATGTGTGAACTAATCGGTGAAATCTGAGTGTTATACCTACATCCACAGCTACTCAAGCAAAACTTTCTGTGCAATAATATCAAAGTTGCTTAATTATTTGTAGTAGAAGAGATATATAAAAAATGATGTAAATAAAAAGTTCACATTCAATAATGATGTTATTAGAAGGTACATAACACAATTTCAAAGTAGATCGTCACTATCATCAATCATCATCATCATCATCATAACCTAACTTACCTTCATGAGCAACTTTTATGTGATCATTTAATTTGGATTTAGATCCAAACCTTCTATCACACTGATTACAAGGATGTCTTATTCCTAATGAAAGAAAAACAATTAATCATATCACTAAATGTACCGATACATATTTAACACCAATGTTTAAATATTTGTATCAGTAATTTGCAACACAAATAATATAAACATACAAGAGAAATAATGAGTGAATGAACAACCGTTCGTGTAGTAGACTTAAAGCAACATACGTTCAATCGAGTTTGTTCACATTTAATTTGATTAAGCCCTTTTGTTAACTTATTTATAATGGACAATCATTCGTGCAATAACAACTTATCTATATCATTGTACCTTTATTATTGTTGCGCTTGCATGAACATATATGCTTGAGCATTGCCTACCGCTTACGCACATATTCATTCTGCTAGTTTTAATGTTAGCCGCTTAATTGATTCGACAATTCACTCATTTCCCTATGTATATATATGCACATTTTAATCCTATTCATTTTCACTCGCGCACTCGCTTGCTTTTTGGCATTAGCCTTTCATTCTTGTTTCGTGTGCCTGTGATTTTAGTGATCTGCGCGTCGTGCAATAAAAAATGCAATCAACACTTGGTACTCGTCTTCTAGTTTATACACCGTTGGGGACATTATCTAGTAACGGTTACCAGGACGAATTGTTTAAGAAGTTTAGGGATCATATAGAATACCAACAACCATAGATTTCAAAACAATATGAACAAATATGTTTAAAGCCACGAACCGACGCTTTTAGATCTCTCATTTCAGTATAAATACTCTACCACATGGTTGCAGTGACCAGTCTATGCCTGAGCGAAAATACAAACAGATGGTTGTATGAAAACGTTTCTTTGCATTATTTGCCTATAAAGACTCAGTAGCTGAGTGGATAACGCGATGGCGTTTGAAGCGAACTGTACTGGGTTCGAGTCCCAGAGTGAACACTAACTCTGGGATGCATGTAAATCCAGCTGACGAGTCCAAAATAGGACGAGACTTGCGTCCTGAATTCCACTGCTAGCCATTATTATTTGCCCCCAAATGCCGTGGTATGCCCGACAGCGAGGAGAGTTCGCTCTCCCTCTCGAAATTCTCATATGGCCACGTGTATACAGCCACTACCACGGAAGTCCTACTCACTGTCTTCTCGCGAAGGGGTGTTGTTTGCGAAATTGAAAGGTTTTGGTAAGCAGCGTTTTATCGATCGATCACAGTGACACGTAAAACACGTAAGGACGACCTAGGGTTCTGATTGGCCCTGCTTCCCTGTCTAGTCCAGCCAGTTGAGTCCAGAACACAAGTCACAGCCTCTGAGTTATGAATCGTTGTATTTCAGACATACTCTATTTATAAACTAACTGTTGGGATACTCAGAAGAATATCCCAAAAACAATTATCCGGTTAAGTCTAACGCTACCCTTGAACGTTAAATGGTGTCATTTCCCTATTGGTCGTTTCCCTACTGATCAATATTTATTTCGCGTGTCATTTTCCTATTGGTCAATATTATTGAACGTGTCATCTTTCTGTTGGTCAATATTTATAGTAATCCTAACTGTATAAATATGCATTTGTTTGTAATTCATTATTCTGCTGCTCCTGACCCCATAAACGACTTTTCATCTACGGTTCGTGTTCTGATATATTGGAGATTGGGAACAGCATTGGGGTCGAACTGGGATATCTGAAGCTTGTCAATTGGTAGAATTTAGAGTAGCCAACTCGCGATCCACAATACTAACCAAACAAACCACATCGTACCATAAAAATAGAAAACAACATTTACACAATATTTAACAAGTGAAATAAACATCGACCAATAGGAAATGTACATTTAAGGTACAAGGCCACCATAGACTTAACACGATAATTATTGGTATATTTTTCCGACTATCCTAACAATGGGCTCCAGTATCCTGAAGGAACAAATGGCGTATGAACCAAAAGTTGGTCACCGGCTACCATCGGACTGCATCTCCTTACGATGTTCTAATGCCTTGTGGATCAGACCTTCATGTTAAAGGCTCGGGGTGTGGCCCCCTAAGAAAAGCACCTGCGTTGGTCTGGGCACCCGGCAGTATCACAGCCCACACACAAATAAAATGAAAATGACGATATTTACTGGAAATTCTATTCTCACTTCGATTTACAACCAAACGATTCACATTATTATTATTATTATTAATATTGCTATTATTATTATTATTATTAACTACTACGTCATTTACTCACTCTGTTTTATTCCCACTTTATGTATCCTTATTTTTCGACTTATACAGCAGCTCGTCTATGGTGAAAATTCGACCGTATCTAAACGTTCTCGAGTCACTGTCCGGTTGAAAATTGTATGCTACCACTGAATATGAGTACTGAAGCAGTTTTTCTGAAACCGCGTGCACTATTCAAACTGGCTGCCTTCAACGTTCGCACACTTATGCAGGTTGAACAACAATTAGGGCTGGTTATGTCTTTGGAAAGTCTTAATATCGATGTTCCTTGTCTGTTCGAGACCCGTATTCAAGACTCTAGTGAAGTACTACAAATTCGCTCTTCATCTGCTGCCTCGAAAAGCTTGTTTTGCGTGCGTTTATCCGGGGATCCTGTGGCATCTTTGTCTGATATTGCTGGCATTGGTGTCGCACTAAGCGCTAGAGCTGAGGCAGCACTAATCGATCGGATCCCAATTAACAGTCGGTTATTTGCTGTTAGATTAGAGAGTTCCATCAAAGTGAGAAGAAATCGGTGTGAGAAGCGATGTCTTTTCGTCATCTCCACCTATGCCCCGACAGATTGCAGCCCGGATGCAATCAAGGATGAATTCTAGCACCAGTTATCTGTTCTTCTATAGAAAATGCGTTCGACAGATATTGTAGTACTAGCCGGATACTTGAATGCTCAGGTCGGACGTCTAGGCACAGAAGAGAATCGTTTAGGTGGCCGATGGGGACTTGTTGGTCGCAGGACAGATAACGTGAACCGTCTATCAATATTTTGTGAAAACCGCAACCTGTTTCTGGTTAGCACTAACTTTCGGCACAGTCATCGCCGATGTGCCACCTGGCGTCCTCCCTCTGCATCTCAAACCTGGACTCAGATTGATCACATCGCGATCAGCTACCGCTGGTGTGGTTGTGTACAAGACTGCCACTCCTTTTGGAGTACCTATCTGGACTCTGATCATGCCTTGGTCTGCACCAATCTTACCTTACTTTTCAGTGGCCAACGAAGTGACCGCCACCAAAGGATTGATGTCAGCAAGCTGGTTGCAACTTCTGTTGCTAGTAAGTACCGAACCGAGCTAGCTTCTAGGCTAGCTACCATTCCATCAAAAAGTATAGATGAGCATTGGTTGCGTGACGCCATGGAAATAGCGAGTAAAGCCGCTTGCGGCTTCGCGAAACGTCCCGCTTATAAGCATTGGGTTTCTTCGGGCTCCTTACAACTCATTGAAGCCCGTCGGTCTACTCCGGGCGACCGTGAGTTTGACCACAAACAACAACTGTTACGTAATGAAATTGAGCAAAGCTTGCGTAAAGACCGAGAAGCCTGGTGGTCGGAGCGTGCTAATGAGCTGGAAGCAGCACCTGCATCTGGTAATTACCGTGAGCTCTTCCAACTCATCCGAGCCACTGGGAGCAAGAAGTCTGATGTGAGCGAAACAATCTACGAGAATGATGGGATGCCAATCACTAACATTCATCGACGTCTTGGACGATGGATAGAATTTTTCGAAGGGCAGTTCAACTGGCTTGCTACTCTGGCAACATCGGTCAGACTGTCCTGGCCGGTGACGATTGATCCACCAAATGAGGCGGAAGTCCGCAAGGAACTCCAACTCTTGAAGCGTTACAAATCACCTGGCCCAGATGACTTACCTCCGGCTCTTTCTAAAGATGGTGGTGACTTTCTGACTAAGGAATTGACGACGTTGTTTACAAAGGTCTGAGAGCTAGAGAGTATACCAACATCATGGAATGATTCGATAGTTGTCCCTATCTTCATGAAGGGTTCACGTCGTTCCTGTAACAACTATCGGGGATAAGTCTACTTCCGATTGCGTCCAAGCTATTGGCTTCCGTCATACTTCTTAGGTTGTTCAAAACCCGAGAAAGATTGACTCGCGAGGAGCAGGCTGGGTTTCGTTCTGGTCGAGGATGTATTGATCATATCTTCACCCTCCGCCAAATGTTAGAACACCGCCATACTTATCAAAGGCCAACAATCGTAGTGTTTTTTGACATCAGGGCTGCCTTCGACTCATTGGATAGGACTGTTCTCTAAGATTGTCTATTGAAGAAGAGTGTGCCTGAGAAGTTTATTAACATCCTAAAAGCCCTATATACAAACACCTCAGGCAGAGTGAGGGCATACAACCACCTTTCTCCACTGCTCCATTCGAGCAGTCAGGTCAGACAGGGTTGCCCAATCTCACCATTCCTCTTCAACTTTGCCATCGACGACATTCTGGAAACAGCTCTGATGGATTTAAGTAATGGCGGTGTGGATATGTTGCCTGGAGAAAGACTTCTTGACCTTGAGTAAGCGGACGATATTGTCTTACTGTGTGATAATGCCCAAGCCATCCAATCCGCACTTAGTCAGTTGGCAATCAGTGTCCGTAGGTATGGTATGTGCTTTGCACCTTCGAAGTGCAAAGTACTTCTACAAGACTGGCAGGATTCTAATCCTGTACTCACTCTGGATGGTGAGCAGATAGAAGTAGTCGAGAAGTTTGTGTATCTAGGTAGCTGCACAAGTGCTGGTGGGGGTGTGAGTGATGAGATCAATGCACGAATAGTGAAAGCCAGAGCGGCTTATGCCAATCTGGGCCACCTTTGGCGCCTTCGTGATGTTAGTCTGGCTGTAGAAGGTCGGATCTACAACGCGTCGGTGAGAGCAGTTTTGCTCTATGCTTGTGAAACCTGACCTCTCCGAGTTGAGGATGTTAGACAACTCTCTGTGTTTGATCATCGTTGTCACCGAAGGATTGCTGACATCCACTGGCGACACCATGTTAGTAATGCAGAGGTTCGGCATCGTGTGTTCGGGCGCAGAGACGATAATCCAATTGATGTCACCATCTTGAAACACCGACTTCGGTGGCTTGGACATGTTCTACGAATGTCGTCCCAGAGAATTACACGTCGTGAATTTTATTGGCCGACTCTGGGACTGGTTGGGAAAAGCAAAGGTGATCAGTATATGACATGGTGTCGGGGTATGAAAGAAAGCTGCAAAGAACTGGCTTCTGTTGGTCCTTCACGACTCCCTGGTTGGGGTCTGAGAGATGGTGCTACACAGTGGCTAGAGACGTTATCAGATATGGCTCGGAATAGAAGCCAGTGGCGATCCTGCTGTAACCTTCTTTTACTTTCTTCATAAAAAGTGGTTGTATCTTCCTTAACTGAAGGATTTCTTCTGATTGTACCTTTCCGTTTCTGCCGTTATTATTATTATTATTATTATTATTATTACTATTATTATAACACTACCTTACACTAATCTGGTCACTATTGTTCTTTTTTTTTCTTTCACGCTCCGTACCTTTTTTTCTCTTCCCGTTCTCATTGTTTTATGTGGCGCATATATATTGACGCTCTCTTGCACCAATATTTATGCGTTCAAATCAATAAATAAATATGAAAACATTTCTATGGGATCGGGTGACTATGGCCACCCTCGCCCACCCACAAAACCACGAATTTAAAGTGAACGCATTATGTGTAGAACCATTGGAATTTCGATCCGCCCCTATAATTAGTTAAAATATTACACCTAAATAACAATTACTTACACTGATTAATTAATGGTTTCTTGATATCGTCCTCTTATCTTAGTACTCATTTTCAATCTCATCATTTTACTTCAATTTTATTTATCTAATCAGGCACACAAATCTGGTACAATTGAGTACAAAAAGTAGAATGTGCCCTACAAATACAGAGGTGGAGCTGTTAAGAAAAAAGAGTGAAAGTGAGTACTACTAAAGAGATTAGCCTCAACTATGACGCAATTACTAGCAGTCACATATCTACACAAGCTTCTTAATTACTTCTAATGGGTTACTGGAAATAGTGAGTGCAAGCATAGGTGTCTATGTCAGTCTTGTAGAAGCAATTTGGATTTGTAGGGTCCAAGATACATGCCGTACTAGTAGACATTAACTGTTAACTGATTGGGTGAGGTTTGCATAGTTTGTGTATTATCGCATCTCAAAACGATGTCATCCTTATACCCAAAGTCTAAGTAACAGATCTACACCACCACCAACTAATTCTATTAGAGCTGTTTCTAGAACATCATCAGTAGGAAAGTTAACAAGGAATGGTGAGATTGATCAGTCTTGTCTAACTCTACCATTGGAATAGGACGAAGAGTTACAGTGAATTTGTTTAAATTAATCCATTTAGAATGATATACAATACAACTTTATAGTAAAACAATATTATCACGAACGTTACTCACCTTCATGAATAACTTTTTTGTGTACATATAAATCATATTTCGTAGAAAGCTTTTTGTTACATTGATTACATGGATATTTTATTCCTAAAGAAAAGCAAGACAATAGTTATTATTAATAAATGTACCGATACAAATATATATATATATATATATATATATATATATTTCTGTATAGTAACGGTTTAGAACACATATACTTTAAATAAACATAACCATTTTGCAAGAAAAAAGGTTTGAGCGAGTAAATAGTGATCATTGTTGTATATGAGAAATTAGGTTCCCCATTGGCCGAAAGATAAACACAAACACACGACTGAGTAATAGACTGGGAAAACTGGATAAAGATAGATACACAGATACCCTATGCACCTTCAATCACATTCTATACCAGAAACCAACATCACATTATCAAGTTACGCAAGTACATAAACACACATGAATTCAAGAAAACCAGTCAGCTTGCGATACGTGTTTTCAGTGAAATATTCCAACGAAACAGGTTACTACACCATAATGTTACATGACATGAAAAATTCAACCTTAAGTCCTATCGTTTTGCACACTCAAACCGGGCTTGACTGTAATAAACCACAATGTAACCTGGTAAGTGCAACAAAGGAGAGCTTACTACTGCCTTCTCAGTCAATATCTGTAACCCCAAACTACAATACATCAACTGGAACTACAAAGAACGGGTGCGAAATGTAACATTTTGATTTCAAGGTTGGAATATGTACAGAAAATTGAGGACACTTAGAGTTATGTGTGACCTTTGGTCTTTAGAAATTTCCGAAACACTCCCACAGTAACGTCCTACGTAAATGTCCAGTTAAAAACAAGACAAACGATTTTTCATTTCTTAGATGTTTCTAAGCTTCTGTTTTACACTACTTGGAAATAACATTTCCCGGTTTTGTGACTGGAGACTTTGGCAAGAAATCTTTTGGGACTCTCAAATAAAACTATTATATAAACCTTCAAACACAGACAATGATAATGATGGATAAACAAACTGAATCACTTTAGAGCTTCCTGAAGCATTTAAAGATGGACTAGTCTATTACACAACAACTCAAACTATTTCAAAACAAAAACTCGATAGTATAGCGTGAGGTAAAGAGAACCTTGTAATTATCTACAGAAGAAACAACATACTTCAATTTATACGATCGAGTAATACAACTAGCCACAAACCAATAATGTTAATATACTAGTAAAAATATGAATACCTTGATTTATCAATACATTCTAACAAATTTCAAAAGAATCCCTCCTTATTGAACAAGCTCATTTCCCATTATCTTATAATCATGTAGTTCATACCTTTCGAAAATTTAATTACTCGTACTTTTCTTATAGTAAGAAAACGTCAATAAAAAAACAGAGTGAAATAAAAATGGGATTAGTGAACAGGGTGTATAGGCATATTAAAGTCCACAAAAATACACGTAAATGTAATTGTGTAATTGTAAAAAAAGACTATACCTTGATGAATTGATTGTATGTGTCTAGTTAGTTGGGATTTCGTAGTGAAGTTCCTGTCACATTCATCACATGAAAGATTAATACCTATGAGAATAACAACACAAAGATTTCTCAAAATATAATTAATCATTTAAGACAATAATACCAGTAAAAAAATAAAAGGTTTTCGGGACCTCATATTATGTGAACAAATCAAAAGATGTTAGGAGGTATTTGTCAGCGACTAAATAGTCGAAAAGAAATTTTGTAGAGACTTATTGGGAAGGTATGTTGCACACAACATCATAATTACCACAATGCCCCCAAATGCCCTGGTACGACCGATAGTGGGGAGAGTCCGCTCTTCCTCTCGAAATTCTCATATGGCCACGTGTATACAGCCACTACCACGGAAGTCCTACTCACTGCCTTCTTGTGGCATTACTGTTCTTTACGAAATTGAAAGGACGAAAAGCGAATGTCCGGCACTTTAACCGGGTTGGTGGACATGGAGAGTCCATCTAGGGGAGTTGAAAAACTGTGATTCCAAACGAATGGTACACATGGGCTCCAGTATCGTGAAGGAACAAACGGCGTATGAACCAATAGTTGGTCACCGGCTACCATCGGACTGCATCTCCTTACGATGCTCCACTGCCTTGTGGATCAGACCTTCATGTTAAAAGCTGGGGGTGTGGCCCCCTAAGAAAAGCATCTGCGTTGGTCTGGGCACCCGGGCAGCATCACAGCCCTCACACAAATCTCATTTCATTTGTGTGGCGCATATGTATCTGGAGCCTCCTTGTACCAATATTTATGTGTTCAAATAAAACAAAACAAAAGATAATTACCACAATAACTCACCTTCATGAATAACTTTCTTGTGTTCAATTAAATGGAATTTACTTGAAAACTTTCTATCACATTTAATACATGAATATTTTATTCCTAAAGAGAAAAGAAACAATAATTAAGACAATGAAATTTCGCAAGCCAATCATGACTGAGTCAACATTAGAGATCTGTTATCACTTGTGTGAACTGGGATACTATCTAGACGCCGAAACTAAAAGAAGTGATTTTGTTAGGTCGATTACTATCGGGACATATGACCTAAAGATCTAATTCACGTTAAGACATCCAGTTCCCAGGGTAGCCAGTGATCAGAATCGATTTGTACACCATACATTTATTAAGGAAACCAGAGCTCATAGTACAGCATTCCTTTCAAATCAGTTTTTCAACTGCTCCACGTCGACCCTCAGTATCCACAGACCCGGTTAGAACATTGGACGTTCGCTCTCCGTTTTCTCATAAAAGCATCCAAACCATATGCTTTTAGTCTGAAGAAAAAGTTTAGGTAGTTAAATTACAATCACAGAGAAACTGAACTGCATAATAAACTGATTTTCTGATACGAGGTCCCTATTTGTTAACTGATTTCTAAACCGGACTGTTTTTTAATGTAATCTATGTGCATCTATAAGTTGTGCAACATCAAAAAAGGTCGGTTGTTTATCTATTACATCGAAATTTACTGATATTAGTACTTGATAAAATGAGTGCGTGTTTTTCATTCAGTCGCTAAATGACGTTTCCCAACCATTGGATCAGATAAACAGAATCAATCAATATCAAATCCCTGAGACTTCTAATTGTTCGACTTTTTATGTAGAAAGTACCCCAAGTCGCAATACGCCAAAAACAAAATAGCAACTGTAGTATATAGAGTGAGCTAATGACCATTTATTTCATTGAGACCGTGATAGCTTGGTTTTTATTATTTTCCGTGTCCATGACCATGAACCCCGACCACCACCCCCTCCGAAAAAGAAGGAAATCAAGATACAACACTCACTACCGCCAACTCTTTATTTAAAAAAATTTAATGTCCTTTTGAGACACATATTGTATCTTACTGTTTACTACAGAGAAAACAGCATTTGGTTTAAATCTTCAAAAGAATGTAAAAGAATGTAATGTGAGGTATAATGATGTAGATGAACTGTTTTTTTATAAGGAAAATTTATTTATTTGTTGAAAATAATACAAAATGAACACTGTGGAAAAATAGGTATTAAAATGAAAACAGACAGGTGGAAACAAATGCAATTTATTCTAAGCATACAATCTAGTGTGATACCATCTATCATTGCAAGTTTCGGTTTAAAAAACCCAAAAGCTGACTTCTAAAGAAAGAAGTATGGATCAACAACATTTAGTCTGTGGCAACATTGAAGCAACAAACGATCACAACCTATTAAGTGTAATAAGCAAACAAATAACAAAAAATGTGTTATCTACTTTTGTGAATGCTTTTAATGTGACGGTCCCGTCCAGTAATTGTTGAAAACGTCTTGTTGCAAAAACCACACGACAGTTTCAGTCCTATAAATATTAAGAATTAATTTAGGAAATCCACTGTAAGAACAATGGGTGATTTGAAAGAACAGTAAAAAAGAGAATCTCCTACAATAAAGATTACTACCAAGGTGAATTACCAAACTATTTTTTGACGTGTATTAGAGATTAATAAAATACACATAAAAATAAATATGTATCTTAATGAGCATATCAGTTGTCATAGTTTACAACTAGAATGAACTCTGTAAACTTTCTACATTACATCAGATTCAGTAATCAACAATTTACACATTAACAGTTCTATTTAGTAATGAACACTGTAAATTCAATGTGAAGAATATTTTCAAAGGATGAACAAACTACAATTTAGTGTGTTTCTTTCAAGATTATACCTACCCTTTTCAGAATCTTGTACTGATGAAATTTGATGTCGCTTAACAGTTGTACCACCATTAATACGGTTATGAGCATTAACAATGTGACCATCATTAGAGTTAGATTTATCTATAAAAGTGGATCATACAATATTATATTCATGTTACTAAAGAATTTAATAACGTAATAATCAGATTTGCAAAATTCATTTGAGGAAAAAAGGTAAACAGAAATAAATCTATCCATGATGTGAATCATTAAAACCATAGATGATGAAACTAATATACATATACCAACAGAAAGGATACAGAATGCTTCTAAAAACAGTTCAGTCAATATATTTATCCAACATTCAGATCATTAAGACTGTTGTAAAAATTAAAGTCAAGATAAATCTATTGACAGATTCATTTTTCATTAGATATAACTTAACAAAGATTTTGAATGACCAACATTGAATACATTTAGAATAATACTTTAATGATACAGGTAAAGAGTTAAAATACCTTAGTAAAATAGTTTTAAGATCAAATCTTTTCAGAGGATTATTAGAAAAACCAGTAAAGTATTATATTTATATTTGATTCATCGGAGCAGCTTTACACCATATTCCCAAAGTGAACAGAATGGAAGAAATGAGCGAAATTGTTTCAGTCGTCCAAAAGTTATGGTCAAAAGTGTCTTCACGAAATTCATGGTCTCGGGTATTTCCGTAGGATTTTGTTACAGTTAATTTCTGTAAGAATTTTTAGATCATATTTCCTAATTAACCTTTGAATGGCTGGATAGATTTCGCTCATTCTTGATATATTTTGTGCTGAATTGCAAATATTGTTGTTTCTAAACCAATTTTTCATCTATCCGGAACTCATAATCAATCGAGCAGCAGTGTACAATCTTAAATTATTCAAACCCCTGAAACATGTATAAGTATCTTGATATTATTATATATAATTCAACAAATTATTGAAAGTAATAAACTGTAGTAAAACTTACGTTTAAAACCATCCTCCAAATACAACGATTGATTATCTCGTAAAATTCCCAACTTATTATCTATTAGGCTGTCATCCATAATGTTATCATAATTACATTCTTCCGCTAAAAACAAATATATCTATAAGAATGCAGAATATATAGTCAAACGATAGATAATATAGTCAATAACGTAACTGTTATCTATAATTGAAGATGGATTTATTACTAATAATGAGCGGTCACTGAACGGTGCGTAGCTAATAACATGTTTTTCTCGTCTGTTAGTAATGATCATCTTTACAATGTACCTACTAGCTTTAACCACGACTTGCAAGTTCACTATGTTAGTTGATTGCACGAAATCGTTAAGAAACCATGAATCAGACTTTTGTGTGAATTGCCACTCGAAATCCGTAAGATTTACCTGCACATTCTTGGTGGGACTGATGTTTCCTGTTGGACTCCAATCCAGGTCAATCCGTGTCACAGTGACAGATACCATTACTACTGAGTCATTCTAGTCGCAACTAAGGAGCATCATATAGCACGAGACTCAAGCCTAGGGTTCCTTGGCGATTCCCTTTAATCACTTAATATTAGGATTTACTATGCATTCACACTTACGCCATATACAATGTGTTATTCCCTACCTCACTTATTTCAACCCACTCCTTTTTTAGTATTTTACTAATATTCATGCAACTATTCCTACAATTTTATCTCCGAATTGAGGTTCACATTAAAAGTGTCAGACATACTTGAATATTTTGTCGACCTAGCACAAACATGTATTAGGTCACTTCACAGCATTACACTAGCTTACTGTGATAAAGTTAATGAGATAAAAGGTAAATGAGATGGCTGTATTGTTGATCACAATATAACAAGTAAAAATGTGTGGGTGACGTTCAAATACCCACAAAACAATAAGATAACAATAATAATTCTGATATGTGGTATTGAAAGTAAAATATGACTGGACAAACAGGCACTTAGCCTACTGACTATTCAATATGATTTTCTTTCCTCTAACTGAATTATACTCCGGACTCACTGAGAGTGACTCCTTGGATGAAGTGTTAATCTGACACTATTCTAGGTCGCGAATACTGGATCTAATATAACGTGACTAGTTTTATTGTTGTATTAAGGTATTATCGTAGCATACTTGACAAAAATATTCCAAACCAACTGTGATATTGAATCCATATGAGGGCATCTGAAAGATATTCGCTGTTCGATGTCATCAATTGTTCACATGACTAATGAAAAAACTTAAGATACCTTAAAAAACAAACTTAACAAAAAATGTAAAATTAAGATAGAGAAGGTAAAAATAAATTAATGGACCGAATACATAGCATTTAAAATTACTTTTCAAATCAGTGACTGGGCCTAGTTCAAGTTAGTTTTAAAAAGGACGACCTATTTTATTTATTTGTTTATTTTAACACAAAAATTGGTACAAGGAGGCACCGAATACACATGCGCTATACAAGTCACTTGATTTGTGTGTGGGCTATTATACAGCCCGGGTGCCCAAACCGAAGCAAGTGGTTTTCTTACGGGACCACACCCGGAGCCTTCGACCTGAAGGTCTGACTCACAAGGCAGTGGAGCATCGTAAGGAGATGCAGTCCGATGGTAGCCGGTGACCAACGATTGGTTCATACGCCGTTTGTTCCTTCACGATACTGGAGCCCATGTGCACCATTCGTTTGGAATCACAGTTTTTCAACTCCCCTAGATAGACTCTCCATGTCCACCAACCCGGTTAAAGTACCGGACACTCGCTTTTCGTCCTTTCAATTTCGTAAAGAACAGTAATGCCACAAGAAGGCAGTGAGTAGGACTTCCGTGGTAGTGGCTGTATACACGTGGCCATATGAGAATTTCGAGAGGAAGAGCGGACTCTCCCCACTATCGGTCGTACCAGGGCATTTGGGGGCAGGACGAGCTGTGTATGGATTATAAGGCCTCCTTTAAATTTACTGACGTAAGTACTTATCAACGAGTCGCTATATACTTTGATAGCTTTTTTCTAATTCAAAAAACCTGTGTAAAGCTGTTGACGTTAAAAATAAATTATCGTTACTGACCTTGACTCATTCATTTGGCACAATGAGGTTGAACAGTGACCGGTGATGTTAGTAGTTATAAGTTAATGGACTTTGGGATATGAACAGACTGACATAAAAGTGAATCATGACTTTTGAGAAAGCCTACGGATGACGGATCATGTAACACAAATTACGTCTGATTACATAACAAGCATCAGTATATTTCTCTCAAACATTTTCTATGTATACGTATAAGTTTCTTATAACGTGTTGATGGGTGAATCCGTTGCACTAGTATAAAGGTAATCACCCACCTTTTATGTAGTTTCCAAGCCCAATGTCTAAATCATTTGATATGAATTCATTTGATGATTTGCAGATCACACCATCCAACCTCATTGGTTGTTCAACCTTACAAGTAATTCCAAAACAGAAGTCAGATACAGGTATTTCCATTTTACTTCAATGCTCAGACATTGGAAAGTTTATAGCAACTGAAACAAGTGACAAGAAATCTTTCAAAAAGATCCAAGTACCAGAAAGTAAATCAAATTCCTAATAAAACACCTATATTTTAGAATACATCAATACAAATAAGATCCAAAATAAATATACGCCGCACAAGTAATACAATGAAATTGTGAACAGATGGTATTAGCATGACTGAGAATTCACCAAATTATGTTTCAAATAGGATCACATTTCAGTGCATCAGTTGACCCATTTTTAGTCACTACTAGCGGACAAGCTGCAAAAAACCGCAGAACTTTTCAATATAAAACTTAGATATATAATTTAGTCAGCAACAAAGTCGAACCTGGTACGTATGTACACAGGTTTAAGTTGCTATACCCATATATATGAATATATTTTCTAATTATTTATTTATTTATTTATTTGAGCACATGAATATTGGTACAAGAAAGCGCCAATATATATGCGCCACACAAAACAATGAGAATTTGAAGAGAAATAGAAATAAAAGCTAAGGAGCGCAAAAAAAGAGAACAATAACGAGGAGATTGGTGTAAGGTAGTATGGTAGAAATGAGGGAACGGAAAGGTACAATCAGAAGAAATCTTTCAGGTAAGGGAGAGACAACCACTTTTTATGGAGAAAGTAAAAGGTTACAGCAGGATCGCCACTGGTTTCTATTCTGAGCCATATATGATAACGTCTCTAGCCACTGTGTAGCACCATCTCTCAGACCCCAACCAGGGAGTCGTGAAGGACCAACAGAAGCCAGTTCTTTGCAGCTTTCTTTCATGCCACGACACCATGTCATGTACTGACCACCTCTCCGCTTCTTCCAACCAGTCCCAGAGCCGGCAAATAATGCATGACGTGGAATTCTCTGGGACGACATTCGTAGAACATGTCCAAGCCACCGAAGTCGGTGTTTCAAGATTGTGACACCAATTGAATTATCATCTCTGTGCCTGAACACACGATGCCGAACCTCTGATGATGAACTCTCTATGTCTATGGAAATTTTCTAATTATATTGACCACTTACTGTTTACTGGGGAATATATTTACGTTTATTTTTATTTTTGGTCTGGGAACTAGTCGAGTGTAGTGAAGCGTTCAAAAAGATTAGTCACTAGGACGGATGAGACAACGGATGGTAAACAAATGATCAGAAAAGTAAACGAGAATGGATTATAATAGAAGATAGTTATGACAAAAATACAACTAAGTAGAATGCTTTCAGTTAAAGAATATCTTTTCATTTTCACGAAAGATGTAGAAAAAACTACAGCAGGACCACCACCGATTTCAACTCTGAGCCACACTTGATAACGTCTCAAGCCACTGAGCTACACCACTTTGAAGACACCAACCAAAAAGTGATGAGACGACAAAGCCACCCCTACACAGCCCTTTAATACCACGGTAAAATTTCATAAAACTGGGTTCATTGTAGTTACATATTCCATGATGACTACAGTTAATTGTTCGTATACCGTTGGCAAAAATAAGGGAAAACTACCCAAAGAAGATGATAACTTAACAGTTGACACATATTTTCAGTAACCGTTACACTAACAATGATTTTGAATGAGGATAATTTTACTTTACAGGCCGAGTCGACTCTAAGTCGTAATTTTAATTCTTCAGACTAATTTATAACCCTCATTTAATTTTGGAAGTAAGCATTATTAAGGCTACTCAAAATTCCCTCAAAGGTTGTTCATAAATCATAGTCTCACGTTATCCACATTCTTCAGGAATGTTACATACAATAGTGCTTTGCATAGTACACACTGTCCTTTTTATACAAAATGACTACGTAATTGGTATATACCGAACTCAAATCCGGTTTCTGATAAATTCTTAGTAGCCTACCAATGCGATTGTTAATGTATTGCCGACAAGTTATGATAAAAAGTCCTTATATATATATATATATATATATATATATATATATATATATATATATATATATATTAGTCATCTAAGTAGGAGTAAAGATTGGATGACTAGGCCAATTAAGATACTGAGGCCGTGAAAGACAAATATTGCCAACCCCCAGAAAATATAAGTCGTATCATGAAGATAGAGACAATAAGGCGACAGTATCAAGCGGCAAGATCACAATTTAGATACGAACCAGTCACTACTATGATAGCAAGTCTTGGATTTTAGCAAATAATCTGAATTCCTTGGTTGAATGATGATTTAACCGTATAGCTATAGAATGTCCGTTTTGGCACTGTAGCTAATGTAGGTACAAGATGTAAACCTCAACTCCGGTTCGTAACCCTGAGTTTTAACTATAACTCCTAATTGCTCACATCAATTTGCATCCCTATTACGACCTTATAGAGACACTTAAGTGATAGCAACTACTGCATTTAGTTTTTCAAGGCCACCTCGAAATATGTTAAAAATAATCTATGAAACTCACCACGGTGCTATAACGACTTGACAGGCACTGTTAGAAGTGCCAGCGCGACAATTCAAATTGGTTAGACGCACAGACAACGACCTCCAATGGTAAAGTTAAACATACCGCTGACAAGCCAGTATACTAAACTGACTACCTTCCCATCTAATACAATAAAACTTTTTTTCAAAAGCTTGTATAAACTATCTAATTATACGCCCCGGCTATTTGTTTTTTCGGCACGGCTCCATGCATTTGGTTATATTCAATCGGTGATAGTTCGGCAAGTAGACTAAATTAGTTGTCAGTCCGGTAGTTATTCGTGGATTGTAGTCTAAGTTATTACGTTTTTCTCAAGGAATTAGATCTTCTGGATACCATCGGCCATCGCATTGTAATTCAGGAGGTTGTTTGGTTGCAGTTTGAAATTAATAAAGCGATTATTCATGTGCTACGGGAGGATGATTGATTTAAGAATAACTTAATTAATTACTTGGATTATAGTGTGTAAGAAGACGGAATCGAAATAGTAAGGGGAAAATGGAGATGATAATAAGGGAGATGAGAAGCAGTTACTGGTTATGCTGTAATGATAACCGCGGTAATTAATTTGAAATGCATCATAGGCGGCTGGTTCGAGAGGGTGATGGGTGAGCATGCTTGCCAGATCTATTGGGCTTTTGTCACCAGTTGACACCATTTATAATGCGAAAAGATCATGGCTAGTTATTAAGCGTTCAGCTGGAGTTTTCAGTCAGGTTTGTGAATCGGGGTTACGATTTTCATCACGAGATGGCATCAGCTATAAGCCAGTTCTTTGCTAGCTTTGGCTTTCAAGCTTGAGAAACTTAGTGTTGAATTTTAGTGTGAGGGTAAGAAATTGTGAATTTTGCCTGACTTCACTCATGGCTGCGCATCGAATAATACGGATTACTCTATCGCGCAATAGGTACGTTTTGCAACTTAGCTAGAGCAACATTTTAAATTATCTTTTTGGTCGTACAATAAATATTTTTATCTTTTTAAAACATTTAAAATCAGTTATTCCCAATTATCCCTTAATTAACAGTGACAAATAAGCTGTCTACCAGACGTTGTGCACTAGGATACTATGCAGAGTAGCGTGAAAAGAAAGAGTTGGAAAACAAAACATGAGGAAAAGTGAACCGATGTCTGTTACAGAAGTGAAAACATTTGACTGATTGGAAACTGTTATATTGAATATTAGTAATGTCACTGTAATTTCGGGTATATTTGTTTCACTCAACTTTTGAACATGCTTGCTCTTATCTCTGACCTCAGACATTTTGGTTTCACTTTGCCTTTGGTTTGGTATTTGGGAGTTTTTGCTCAGAGAACCTAGAAAATTGAGGGTTTGTTTTGTAATTGTTATAATTACTATTAAAAAGAGGTCTGAGTCGACTAGTTGCAATTTGTGAATAAACTTTATTGCCTAAATTAGAATTTGGTTTTATTGTTATTTGGGAAAGCAAGTTACAAATTAATCGATGTGCCATGCTTCAGTAATGGAAGAGAGCAAAAGCATGACTATAATGTTGACCCTTTCAAGCAAGCAAAATTGACTAACAAAAACTAAGGAAAGCAGTAGACACTTATCAGTAACAGCCTAAGACTTAGGTGAACTCAGGAAATGGAGATTTGATGACGGTGGTTTAAAATGTAGTGTTTAGTGATTATACATACTTACAAAACTCACCCTAGCCTCTGAACAGACATTGATGACTCAGACAGCATATAACTATCGGATAATAACTATTGTTTTCATAAAAAGTCGTGATCTTCAACACACGTCTTATTTTTATGTCCCAGTGTTCCTATGCTTATGTGCCTTTTGTTTACTTGTTTATATAACAGTGACTTACTTTTATCACGAGTACATGATTTGTTTAATGAAAGCAATTATCATTATAACCAACTGTACCAGTGCTTGTTTTAATGTGCTTTTGTTTAACTGTGCTAATTGCAGCCACTTTGTGCTTCCATTACCTTCCGTCATTATTTCGCGGTTTTTGGCTTTGTTCGCAAGTACTCCGTTCTCCTGCTTTCGCTTGTACCAACTCTTGGCACGATCTTGGTATTCATTCGATACCACGAGATCGCCAATTGAATAAACTTGATTCTCATCCGCCTTCTGATTTGTTTGGCATGTGTTTTCTTGGTAGCGGTGTTCATAGTCAACTGGGACTTGACGCCACGCTACAAAATCTATCACCTACTATTTCATCCAATGCCTGTCTCCTTGTCACATTATTCACCATCCGTTTAGAACTATATTAAGGCTTTTAATGAGTAGTATAGTGAATTAGGATTTTGTCTTTCCTGGTCTGTTTCCTTTCTCATGTCGTCTTTCTGAGACGAGCGTATGAAACATACATATTGGAAATTCATGTTCCTATTTGACAATTTTTTGTCCGTTATTCTCTAAAGTAAACTAAGTCGATAACTGTATACTGGGGTAGCCAGCATGTACATTCTGTTGACATCGTCGTTCGATTAAACCGGAGTCAGATCAGTGGATCACAAAAAATCTACCACACCTTGAAGTACTTTATGTAAGATCCGTTTTTGTAGGATTCTGCTTTTTCCTACAAATATTCTTTTTAATCCCTGTTGTGCGTGAATTTTTTAGTTGTTATCTGTACTTTTTGTATATCTGTTACCATTTTCTACATCACTTGCAGTTGTTATTACCAAATTCTGCACGAATTCTGAATTCTAACGTGTGATTTGATGTTGCTGAATATTTTAATGACTTTTATCCTGGTTTTCTTTAACGTAGTCTCTATGGCGCTTGTCACATTGGGAGGCCATACTTTGGTTGACATTTTGTAAAATGGTTGACTCTGTTTCATGTGCTGAATTTTGAAGCACTTTCTCTGTTTGCTTCACGGACGTTTCCTATTATTAACTGGCTTACTTAATTACGTCTGTTACTCCTCGTGAAGGAGCATGTGCCGCTGACCAAAATTCTCCATCCAACCCTGTGTTGGGCAATACTTCCATCTCCTTCCAGCTGTTATTCATCCTTTTCATATCTGATCCTATTCACCGACGTAATGTGTTCTTTGGTCTTCCTCTTTTCCGCTTCCCTTCAGGATTCCAAGTTTGACGATTCGTGTAATGTATGTCCTATCCATTTCCATAGTCTTTTCCTAATTTCCTCTTCATCTGGAAGCTGGTTTAGTCTCTCCCACAGAAGGGTGTTGCTGATGGTATCCGGTCAATGGATGTCGAGTATCTTGCGTAGACAACTATTTATAAATACTTGCATCTTCTTGATTGTGGCTGTAGTAGTTCTCCAAGTTTTGTCTCCGTACATTAGAACGGCCTTGACGTTTGTATTGAAGGTTCTGACTTTTGATATTGGTTGAAAATTGTTTTGAGTTCCATATGTTCCTCAATTGTAGGAATGCCGCCCTTGCTTTACGTCTGCAGGTTGCATGGAATGTCATATGAATTTTGATTTATCAACTCAAGACTGTCAGTACAATTTAAACTTGCCAGATTTTACTCCGTATTTGTCAATGATGAATACGCGACGTTCTATAATAATAACACAATTATTCACAGGCAATAAAACGTAGGTTTATACTCATAAAAATGTCACTGATTCAAGTAGACCTGAAGACATCACTCATTCTTGGTAATATCTTCAGGATTTATTGTTCAATTGTGTCAGTTTTGGCCAGAACTGAGAATTTATCAAGCTATTTTAGCAAGATTTACTCTCTTGGTATTGCTAACAACACCGAACCACCGAGATACCAGCTATAGGACCAACACCTGTGGATGAGATGGCTTTTTTAATTTCTCGTTAACCTCGGATCTTGTAAGTCACCAGGTCTTTATACGCTGCATCCCTGATTACTATCATGTCTGACAGACAACATTTCAGAATCACTCAAGATGCTTTTCAACACGTCCCTCTCCCAGACTCTTTAAGGGGTAGAAGGGTGGCACAGTTGACCCTATACTTAAGTCTTAATACTAACCTATCAGCCTAGCCAGCATAATTGTTAAGATACTTGGGAAAAAATATTTCAATTTATTAAGTCGCGTATGATCATGAAATCTGTCAAACTTCCGAGCAGCACGAGTCTTGGAATAAGCATTCTATTCTTAAAAAACTTACTAATTGCAAGAGATTAGTGAACAGAAGCCCAAGATAACGGTTTGTTTTTCGATGAGACATTCATTGGTTTTAGTAAAGCATTTTATAAGGTTTCTCACTATGGGTTTATGCAGTAGCTTTCAAGCTTTGAAATAACAGATACACTACAAGAGTGAGCAAGAGAATTCCTCTGTGGTTGAAGACAATATAGGGTAAACAGGACACTATCTGACTGAAAGTTAGTCAGTGGTAGTGTACTTCAGGACACCATCTTGAGTCCCCTATCTTCTCTATGTCACTTAACTACCAAGATTACTGAATTTGTCGACAATTTTGTTTACAGACTGTCAAAATCTAGAGAATAATAAGTGATGAGCTTGATCATCTTGATCTCTACTCTGATCTAGATAAATTAGCCAGATGGTCCTAAAGTTGGGACTTGGAAATTAATCTTGAAAAAGTATGCTTATGCACATCGGACACGGTAGCAGTTACTAGTATACTATCGATGGTATATTGTTTAAACGAGTACAGGAACAAAAAACCTTGGACTTAAAATTAGTAGCAAACTGTAGTGAGGCAGCCTACAAAGATTTTCGAGTGTTATCGTAACTTACTATCGATGCTATCCCTCTGGAGTGTGCCAGGCGTATCAGATTTAATTTATTGACAAGTCGTTACAAATCGCCATACTATGAGTTCTTTAAATGCCTAAACCTCTACATTCTATCTTATCGCAGAATGCGAGATGACTTTAAATTGACATTCGCTATCTTTCATAACGATTTGTGTGTTAACGTGTCCTATATTTCTGCTCCATCTAGAACTAACCATCTCTGAAGCAACGGAAAGAAGCTTTAAAACCATGATCTAATGAATCCATAGTGGGATTTCATTTTCTCACCGAATAGTTAATAATTAGAATCATGCTGATCACTTTCTTGGAGAAACTGGATTATCACCAGGAAAAAATCATCAAACGTTAACATATGCACGCCGACATACTATCCGTATTGCCGAAGACTAGAGAATAAAGTCTTCCTTATTCTGTACCAGAAGTTCAAGACAATTTAGTATTGACTATCACTGTTTTCATAACAACCATAAACTGAAACAAACAACTAACAGAAATATCATTTGGAAAACACAAAAGAAATCAAACATATCAATACCAAAATTGAGACTAAATCATTCCGGCTTGCCGTTATAAATTAGGACTGAAATGCTTGAAAGTTGAAAATTGTTTTAAATAGTGCGGCTGAATACATAGCTCGCAGTTTGGTCCCTACTTTCCTCATTAGCTCATGTATGTGGATTTTGTATATTATGTACTAGGATCGTTCTGTGCACCCTAAGTGCAGTACCACTAACAAATATTTTGACTGCTGCAAACGGGAATTACTCACTCTTTCCCTGTAGTTTCTTTGCTCTTCACTGTGGTTCATGTGAAACTGAGTTGTTTAGCATGTTTTAGTTTATCCAAGGACTGATGGTAAATGGAGACGGTTTTTTCGGTAAGCTACTTCGTCTGCTCTTTTTAATGGTAATTTTTTATTACACATGTTAAACGTTATATTATTAAACCCGCATTTAATTATAACCCCATACAACGATCGTCATTTTAGGTTCACTGTGTTTAAGGCTTCTCATAAGCTGTCTAGTGTATCTCAAAACCTTTACTGCGATTCTGTGCTTGACTTGCTAGAGGATGTTTCGCCCCAAGATTAGGCTCCTTCCCATTTGTAGAACATCATTTCGTCCTGCCGATACGTGTTGGGCGTAACAGATGTAGACGTTTTCCGGTGTTTATGTCTTAGCCTCTCTTTTTTAACCTTTGATTATCAAGGCCCTACATATGGGGTGTTTGGTATGTTTTAAATTTGTCACTATCCCTACTGAAAATACTACTCAGCAACTTATTCACTGCTGCCTTTAAATGGTTTGTTATCTAATTTAACCATAACGTCAACTCACGTGTTATCAAGAACCATCTATCATTGTCTACTTAAGAGTTAAAGGTTGCACTAGTCAACGGATCTAGGTGTTATACATGTATTGTACGTGGAAAATACTTTGACAGTGAACTGCACATAAGCATGTTTTAGTAGGCCATACTTTGGTGATAGTACCAGCTGGCTATCATTTAATGACAGAAAATATTTCGCTGTGCTTACCGCAAAAAAACCTTATGTCCACGTGACGAGTGCAGTATATCCTTAATTATATCGATGTCGATTTCCTAGCTTGAATATATATTCGTCCATACACAATGAGTGAATTAAACAACTGGTAGTAATCACTACTTAGTTTATCATCGTACCGAAGTCACCAGTAAACCTGCTTAAAATACTATTGTTTTTTCTTCCATTTCTTTGTCTCAATTGAGTTTCTTCATAATTATCTCGCTTTTCAGACGTTACTACACCATTATCAAACATCTTGACATTTTTCTTATAATGAGTAACATCAGTAGGTTTAGTAAGTTGAAACTAAATGATCGCTCATAATCACCAACTTGCAGTCTACACAAGTCATAGACCCTGTTTCATATTCACAATGTAATGTGAAGTGATTTGTTCCACATTGTGCTGCACTGCCTTGTGGATTAGATCTTTATATCTAAGGCTCCGAGTGTGGTCCCCTAAGAAAACCACCTGCTTCGGTTTGGGCACCCGGGCTGTATAATAGCCCACACACAAATCAAGTGACTTGTATACGCATATGTATTCGGTGCCTCCTTGTACCCGTGTTTTTGTGTTTAAATAAATAAATAAACGGATAGACATCTCGCTTCACAAACGGCTCAAGACATTTTAATCGAACACCGTTGGCCATATAACAGTTTATGGAGGACTACCAATTGTATATCTCAATTAATGAGTAACAGTTTTTTTCACCACTTATTAAATTTTATGGTAGATGTCCTTGTAAAAATAAAACTTCCCAGAGACCAATCTAACAAATTTGCATCGAATTTAAATACACAGGTGACAGTATTATTTGATAAAAATGGTTACGAAATGCAGAGTTCTTTGGTAGCGCTGAGTAATAATATAAGGATATTTAAATGCATTTCTTTCCCCCCAAATATTACTTTAGCACATGTCTGCGTCACAGCCTAGACTGATCTCAGAAGTTAAGTAGTTGAGTGCACTAGTTACTTGATTTCACCGGTCTTATTGAGTCTGGGTCTGATGAAATCTGACACATTTGGTAAAGCCTTACAACAAAGGTTCCCGATCGCGAGGGTTGGAGGTCGCATTTAGGTCAGGGAATAATGTTCAAATCAAGAGTTAGTGCACATGTATTCTAAAACCTGCTATAGGGTAAAGTTTCAAACAGTAGATACGCACAGTGGTCTGAAACCAGCTTAGTTTTTGTTTGGCTTGCTGTCCATAAACTTCATTCTGGCGTTTGCTTATCATGTAGGCTAAAATTTTATCGTAGAGCTTATTCCTCAATATTCATCACAAGAAAAGTCTGATCATTTTTAAGAGTGTGTTGGCCGGTGGTCGAAATCAAGTTTAAAAGTAAATATTGAAAGTCATTACCACGTACTTGTACATAAGGAACTAACCGAATCAAATGAAGCAGGGTCGGTACCTGGGACTTAGATAGGATTACATCCAGTTCCCAAACTGTGTAGTATCTCGCTTGACTTAACTGTTCAGTCTCTATGATCCCACTTTGTTGTCAACCTATCAGTTCATACTGCTCTCCCTCGGTCCATAGTAGACATGAGCTTTTCAATCTCTGAAAGTTAGTGGGCATGTATCAATCTCCACTGATGGTCAATCACAATCTCGTCTTTTTTGGGATAGTCTCAATGCCTATTTCTTTTATGAGTTTGAACAGTTATCTAGCGTTACCTATGTCCAATTCTTTTTCTATCTCGCTTTTTTTCCCAATCAAACTTATTTATTCGTGTAAAAGTCATTTTCTCTCCTCTTCTTTCTTCGAACTCGCTGAGCGAGTGTTCAAGTTCCATTTAAATTAGTAAGGCCTTTTGACACTCGTTGATCTTTTGGTTCAAATCATTGCTACTTTTACAGTTGATTGGAAATGGTGTCTGGCTATCTCAGGATAAAAAAGTTATGAAGTAGGGTTTTAATCAGTGTGCTAATAAATTTCCAATCGTTAAAATGAACAAAAAGAATTTTCAATAAATGGTACTGTGTGTCTAAGTGTTTGCTGCTCATCAGAATTTCTGAAGTAAACTTAAATTATTTGACTTCAAAGACAAAACCACTTACCCGAGGAAAAGATTTATTTAATAAAATGACATACTTATATGCAAATTATTAACACAAAATAATAAAATGTCACGAGCGGTTGAGAGAAATCAGTTTGCACGTCACTTTTCAGTCACTTGGCACCTGATTGTTAAGTTTGATTTTTGAGCATGTTTTTAGTCTTACCTTAAACTTATTTAATGTATTCAATTTTAGTCTTTGGAATCCATGTTTTTGTTTGTTTTATCATCAACTGTCATATTGGCATTTTCTCACCACCGTCCCCCTTAAACCCAGCCTATGTCGCACAACTTAATCCATAGCAATATGAACGAATGAGGTGCGTGATGTAACTGAAGACGTTATTGGTCCTCATGAGATCGCTTATTGTGTGACTTGCGGAGGTTGGTATGGCGTATGTGGTGTGGTTTCAGCCCAGATCTCAATCGCAGATTCTGAACTTGAAATTCAAGAATTTCCATTGATATCATTGTATCATTGCTAATGCTAGATCAGGAATAAACGGTTGTATAAGCACATTTGAACGAAGTGGCCCCCAAATACCCTGGTACGGGCGATAGTGGGGAGAGTCCGCTCTTCCTCTCGAAATTCTCATATGGCCACGTGTATACAGCCACTACCACGGAAGTCCTACTCACTGCCTTCTTGTGGCATTACTGTTCTTTACGAAATTGAAAGGACGAAAAGCGAATGTCCGGCACTTTAACCGGGTTGGTGGACATGGAGAGCCTATCTAGGGGAGTTGAAAAACTGTGATTCCAAACGAATGGTGCACATGGGCCCCAGTATCGTGAAGGAACAAACGGCGTATGAACCAATCGTTGGTCACCGGCTACCATCGGACTGCATCTCCTTACGATGCTCCACTGCCTTGTGAGTCAGACCTTCAGGTCGAAGGCTCCGGGTGTGGTCCCGTAAGAAAACCACTTGCTTCGGTTTGGGCACCCGGGCTGTATAATAGCCCACACACAAATCAAGTGACTTGTATAGCGCATGTGTATTCGGTGCCTCCTTGTACCAATTTTTGTGTTAAAATAATAAATAAATAATGAAGTGGTTGCTATTATCTGCCTAGCAGGCTGGGCTTAAAAAGTCTCAATCGTGTTTTAGCTTCATTTACCGTATATACGTCGGGTTTGAAGCTACGAGCTACGAATACCACATGTGAGTATAGCTTTCTTTAGGATATCAGAAAGCTTTTTTCAAACTCATCTTTTGATTAGTATGGGCTGCAGCCAGTGGGGGACAGGTAGAAATGGAAAAAAGGCAACGAGCTTATCTACATTTTTATTAGTTATTACTGTATCATTTAACCAAACTGCACATAAGCGACTGTCGTTTAGATTCCACTTTCATGTGATTAATATGTATGAACGTCACTAAATTCATGGATTTTAAGTTGGAACTTCATCGACACACATCACTATTAACTACTTTCCAAAATATTAAGCAAATCACAACCTATCCATTTGAAGGTTTCACAACAGAGTTCATTCGAATCTTGGTGGAGATATCTTCTCAACATTACTCAACATTAGTAAAAGTAGTAATATGCTCGTAATATTTCATTGAAGGTTGAATCTCGGACATTTCGCGGCTGCATGTCGATTCTTTAGAGGACAAATAAATAATTAAATTTATTCTCTGAAGAATCAACTTACAATAAGCCACGAGACATCAGTATTTCTATTTCCCACTCATTTGGATGTTACAGATAAATCATCGTCTTTATTATTTACAATCTATCCAATGCTAAATTCATTTGGTAGTGTTAAATCAAACCTTGGTGATGATATATAGCTCCATTAATGTTTTTTCGTTATCTCTAAACGAAGTGCAACAGTTGACAATATACGTCAAATAAAAGATAAATCTTATCACCAACTAAATTTGCTTGTCAGATATTGTAGTTCTAGCTGTTGACTTTACACAGTTCGAGTCCCTGGTCGTTTATGTAATCATTAAGTACCCGTTTTTTAGGTCGAATAGTAAGGATCGTATTTCTACGTTTGCATATCATAGTATACTTGTAAACAGTCCTTGGTACGTCCGTGCACTGCGCCAGTAATTCGCGACTCCGTCTTCAATACCGTGAACGAAATTATTCCATCGTCTTTTCCCTATCCTACCAATTAAAGGCACTAGTTTGGAGAGACAACTTTTCGTTAACTCAGTGTAATTAATTCGAAAACACTAAGTTTGTCGACTACATATCATTAAAAAAGGATTAGAATATTTAGACTGTTTGCCAAGGGAACATA